AGTTTCATGTGGTTTACAAAACAATATATTTTGATATGGTTTACAAAACAATATAATACAAAATATGAACCTTTAAAATTGATAGCAAGTGAATTTATTTTGGAGTCATAATGTTAAATCGATTTGATATGTACATAGTATATCAATTAATGTTTTAAGAATATTTTTAAGTGACATAAATAATTGATATGACCAATGGTATATTCTGTAATTAATCTAGTAAAGGAAGACCTTTTATTTAGATGTTGTGAGAAGAGCTATTGTATTGACACATAAGCAAAATGGCAATTTTGTGAATAATTTACATTTTTAAGGTTAGTTATTAAAAGTGCTTCTCTTTTAATAATAAAGGGATATTCCCTTAATCACTTACCGCGAACCCTCTCAGCCGTCAAGAGTCTTTCCAAAACAACTCTTAACGAGTGGGGCCCACGGTTTTGTTAAAAACCCACTCTTAAACTTTTTGTGCAAGAGACAACTATACGAATTATGCGTTCCACTAACACGTGGAAATTTACAATTATTTTTTTATTTTTTTTAAAAAAAAATTAGATAAAAAAAACCTTACAACAAGTAGATTCTTATGGTTACTGGTGCGTAATCCGCTAAACATATTCTCATATCTCTCACTCGATCATCATTAACCATGGATCTCTTATCCATGGTTCTTAAAAAAAAAATCAATTTAAAAACATGCGGATTTCACCATTATTTAACACGCAACTCTTATGTGTTTTGTGTAAGAGTCAATTCTTGCAAGGTTTTTAGACTATTCGCAGATTTTACCGATATGCTAAGAACTTAGAGCATGATTAACCCGGAGTTCTTAGTATGGAGTTCTTAGCGGAAATTAAGAAATAGTTTCTTAATTTCCGCTAAAATTTCACTTTAAGAACTTCGGGTTAATCATGGTCTAAGAGTTTAATCATGGTCTAAAGAGCTTTGGACTAGGTAAAAATATTCTCTTACTACCTGCACAAAAAGCTCGAAAAAGATATACTAAACTAAAGGTATAAACACCCTGCTCAGCAGTTACAAACATAATTTTATTACCTCACAGAGTATATTATCATCGATCATTTTGGACAAATTATTCTGAATCTAAGAAGAAGCTTGGAAAGGAATACATTTGATAGAACAGAAGCATAGTTCATCTTTTCCATTGAAAACCTGTTTGTCTTGGCAAATACGGTGACATGTTTGACAAGTGGGGCGAGAAGCACCATTGTTTGAAGCAATCTCAACCTCGAAACCATTCACTTTGATCCTATGGCCACATTTCAAATAAGGGTATTTCCCTAAGAAGCAGTCAACATGTAGAGTGGTGGTGCATTCGTGGCAGGTGTAGAAAATTAGTCCTTTCTCTATAATTTCTTCACATATCTCACACCACTCAAAGTCATGATTTTCATCATAGTATAAGGTGAGTGGATGATCGTCAGACTTGTATTTCATCACTTCTGGTAAATTCACGCATTTAAAGTCAAAGTATGTAACTTTTTCGACACATCTTGCTGTGACCGTTGCAAATTGCCTACAACCGTCACAGAGGTAACTAATGAATCCGCTGCTTAAATTTATTCCCAGATAGAATGGATCATGTGGGAGAGCAGTATGGTTGAATGGCTCGACAAAAGAAGCACACTTCACATCCATTATAAATCCACAATCTTTATGGCTACATTTGTACGACATGAGTCCAGAAGAGTATTGGTTGCACACAGAACAAGTGAAGAATCCGGGAAAGGTGTAGATCGGTTCGAGATGTAGAGTTAGGGGATGGAGATGTAACCCGTGTGACATCTTACGAGGAAGACTCGCACACGTTTCGTGGAGAGCAAAGTCATCGCATTGCTTACAACGCAAGAACGTACCGGTTTTAGTGGGAAGAATACACGCTTGACATAACTCCTCACTGTCTTGATCTTCGAGTACTCTGAATAGGTCATGGTCATGGCTAAAATGGCGCCATATTGATTCGCCATCTATATCCTTCACCAACAACGGCGTAAGATCATCAACCTCTTCTTCTTCAGGCTCTCCTTCAACATCTTTGCCATCCCACACATTGAAGCGCATTATACAATCAGAATGCACAACATAATTGCATGTATTGTCAATACAAGAATATCCTCCATACCTAACATGAACTCGTCTCCGACAAATTCCACAAACGTTGTGGTTGTCGCCATCAGAGATGCGAAGAAGACGGTGAGCGAGACCGAGACGATGCGAGTGACGTGTGATCTTTATAACCTTTGGTAGGTATATACAATGTCTATGTACAAAGAAATCGCACTGTAAACATCCGTACATTTGAGCGGGATACTCTTTCGACCCACAAACGTCACAAGGGAAGGGGATCGCTCCACGAATGTAGGTTAGTGTATGCTCATGGCACTTTGGATAATTTACTGTGAGACAATTCTTGTGAAAATTGAATCTACATCCTTGACAGTAAAATGCATCCGACTCCTCCAAAGAAACCACTTTGTCACAAAGATAGCACTCATCTGTATATGTGTATTGATGAGAGTCTTCAAATACGTGTTTATCGTGAATAGGTCTGGAGAACATCACGGGAGTGTAGTTTCTTTTCCTTAAGGGAAATTATATTAATCTTCTATGAATTGATCATATCACGTGGTATAAATAGATATATTGTTTGTATTCCTTCATTTTGTGTAGGTTAGGAACAAGAAAGAAGAAGGAAGGTACATTTTGGCTTTACGATGCCTGGACAAAAAGCATACTCCATTATTCATACGGATACTTTGCACAGGGCTTAAGCTATTGCATACCTCCATTCTTCTTTTCTTTATACTTCAGGTATGCTATTATTACATTCTTCAGGCAGTCCATTTAGACATACAGTATATGGATTTTGATTCCATCAATCATATTAATTATAAAGAAAAATTACTATAGATTATTAATGATTTGTTTTGGTTTTTGAACTTGGAACGCGTGATTCCTTCACTACCCATTGTTACTTTCCCGCTTTCTATGGTTTCCCCGTCTTCCTCAACAAGACTGCATCACACATGGTGGATACCTTACTCTCTATCAAAGTGATCTCCGGTTTTGGCTCCCCTGATCTTCTTATGAGTTCTCTACTTTCACTTTGGAACTAGTAAAAATAGTTTTGACATTAGCAAAAAGTGAAACAAAAGTGTTACTATGGTATTTGTCATTAGCTTTGAAAAGATTAAATCTAGTTTATGTCATTTCTGTATTCATATTGATATTGTCTAGTAGTTTCTCTTTTGAAACGTCGTTATTTTGAAGTGTCGGCTTTCACCATGCTTCACGCTTATTATTTCCCTAAAGAACACTTTATAGGAATCAAAGACTCTAACTCTGGGGATACACATACAGCAAAAGTGTTTCCATGGTTGTTATGGGAAATATGGAAAGCTAGAAATTCTTTTGTTTTTAAGAATAAGGTTCTTGAATCTTCCTTTGTCGCTCAGAGGGCGTATGAAGAGGAATCGACATGGTATGATACTTTCTCGGGTTCTTTAAACCAAGTTGACGGTGTTGGCGTATGTAAGGCTTCATGGATGAAACCACCTAATGGTACCCTAAAATGTAATGTGGGTTCCTCGTGGATTAATCCAAACCTGCCGAGTGGTGCTTCTTGGATTCTTCGTGATGATAAAGGAAATACAATCATGCATAGTCGTCGGGCTTATTCATACGTGCGTACAAAGACCGAGGCTGAATTGTGGGCACTCTTCTGGGCGGTGGAATGTTTGCACAACCTACACTTCTCAAATATAATTTTCGAGACCTCCTCAGATTGCCTCCATGACGCTATTACAAATCCAACTGCTTCCCCTTGTCACAGCCACATTCGTCACAGCATTTTCTGGCTCCTGGCTAGAATTGATTCATGGAGTCTGAATCACGCACTTCCGGATCGAAATGAAGCTGCATCTTCTATAGCTCTTAGCGTCACTCGAGACCAGCGTCATCAGTCGTATATCGCTCGGAATGCTCCTTCGTGGCTACATCATCTGCTCGTCCTGGAGGCTCAGTAAGGAAGGGGGTGGGTAAATAGGTTATCCTTCTCCTTTTTATCGATTTTTCCTTTTGATGGTATCTTCTGACATCTCATTTTTTGCTATTATCGTCTCTTTGTTGTACCCCCTCGTACTTTTGTTCGAACTCAGCGTTAAAAAAAAAAAAAAAAGACTCTAACTTTGTGCTTGAGTCTTTGGCTGATTTTGCCTCGAGTTTCTTTGAATTTAATACTAATAACTAGATTTTGATCTGCGCTTTAAAAGCGCGGGTATATTTTTATCATTTTGATAAAATTTATTTAAATTAATTATTCAAACACAAAAATTTTAAAATTGTTTTATTAATATTTAAAAAGTTTTATTATAATGTTTGATTTTCACGTAATGTTTCCATATCCGACCCAGATCCATAGTTGAACCGCTACATCCGGCAATTTTTCTATAATCCAATTAAAAATTTACTAATTAAAAATTTAAGTCAACCCGGTATATATTTTAAAACCCGCTATTAATCTGTATTATGATATTCTCTTGATCCGTTAAATAACCCCATAAAAACTGATAATATATTTTAAAAAATTTGTTTAGTAATTCATATCTATTATATTAAAATAGAAGTCATAACTCACTTCATGTGTGATATTTCAGTTTGGATCATCCTTAGAATTATATAAAATTTTACATAACATTATAATATCTTTTCATATGGTTAATTTTTGTTTGAAATACAAATAAATAGTTTTAAGAAAATTCTAACAAAATCTTTTGAAAATCTTTAGAATCTTTACAAGATATAGTTTCAAAAATTATTTGATTAAAATTTTAATTATCATTAAATATAATTAAAATTTAATTCATTTTTTTATAAACAAAAAATTAAAATTATGTAAAATACTTTTAGGAATATCCCAAAATTTTGTTTATGTATTATGTAGGCCAAACAAAATTTACATTTTACATATATTTAAAATTTAGAAATAAAATAAAATATATAAATTAGTAATGTTACATCATTTTGTTTTTAAAAAATTGTTACAAAAATAAAAATTTATAAATTTTCTATTAATAATATTGTAAGTCACATAAAATTATTATAAAATTGGATAGCATACAGAATCAAATTATATTTATTTATTGATAAATTTTATTATATAATTTCAAATATTTTCGTATTAAAATACCCGCACGGTTGTGCGGGTCGAAATCTAGTCTAAACTATTAAAACAGAAGTACAAACTAGAATTAACCCTTATTTTTCCACAAATATTACTACTCATGCCACTGACATTAAAACTACTCCTTTAATACATTATTAAAAGGCCTTCTCTTCATTTAATAACAGCCCATAACTAGCCTTTAATTTTGTTATTATTTCGTACGGATTATATTGAGAAGTTCCCAAACACATTTCATTAATTGATACAATAAAAACATATCATTAAAAAACCTTTTAAACTAAGTCATAAACCACACGTATATTGATTTAAATCCAGATGAGAAAAAGGATTGCAAACTTGCAGTAGTATCACATAAAAAGAGAACAACGTGTTCCCCTAAGAAAGTCACGGTTCATCATCAACAATATAAGTGATGCTTGAGAAAAATGAATCTAGAAATTTGAGCACTATACAACTAATTGACAGATTAAAACAATGATTCTCAAAATAACCACAATCAGATCTTAATAGTATAAAGCCCTAGGCACATTTATCTGGAATCGAAACACCAAACTAAATTGAAAAAGAAGTTTGGTTTGGATCCTATCAATTATCTCAGCGGATTCTATATCTCTAGAATTAAAGAACTAAAACGGAACTGGAATCAAACCAAAATCGAATTGGAACCGAATCAAGAAACGATTGAGTACCAAATTCCTTTAATATAACTTATATACTTACAAATATTAAGTATATTTAATTTTCAAATAATGAAATAACTAAAAATTATTATTTATCAAGCGAAGTACATAAACCCGAATTATCGTATCCAAAATATTGTAAATTATCTAAATTATCGAATTCAAAAACCCGATTTTTATATTTAATCTGAAAACCCAGATTTTAGACTTCTTAACCCAGCTTAATCAAAAAAACCAGATTGGACAAGAATCAAATGGTATCTAGAATTATTTGGAAACATTTTGTTTTTAAAATAGAATTAACATACATAAACATATTAAATAAGTTTATTTATACACAAAAAAACAATAGGAAATTATTCATGTAATAAAAAGGATTAAATGACAAATATCTTATATAAAATATTACTTTCGTTGGTTAAATATTCAATCACAATATGAGTAACTAACACTTATACAAAAAACTAAAACGACCAATCAATCATAAAATGTATCTTTCATAAATTGAGAATCACATTGATATCGAAATATATATAACTTTGAATAAACACCCGTGCAGGCGCACGGGTCAAAGTCTAGTTTTTAATATTAAAGAAAATTGATTTTTTGTAATTTCCTTAATAAAAACTTTCTTGTCATTTGAAAAATGAAACAATTGCAATAGAAAAAAAAACACAATTTATTCATATAACAATATTAGTTTCTTTTCGTTATTAATAACATATGATAAGTTTACATTTTTACTCATTTTATATCTAAAATTTAGTTTTTAAAACAAATTGAATTGACATATCATTATTATGGATAAAATAAAACAGTAAATAATAATTTATAATTTTTGATCGCTAAATAATATGATGCACGGAAATATGATATTAAAATTAAATAGAAAATCATAATTTTCATAAAAAGAAAATTATAATTAATCACAAAATAGGAAATATTATCAGTTACCATAAATATAGGAGATATTAAATTGTTTAATTAATTAAGATTCTAAAAATAAATAGTGGTATTATCTTATAAATGTGATAAAAACCTAGGGGTAGAATCCAAAATTTTAACAATAGGATCATGCTTTAATAGTATAGATTTCCATATTTCTTGTCTATACATCTTAAGTTAGACTTTGGAAAGTCTTCAAAGTTGAAAGTTGAAATTCATTACTTAGTCAAAGGTAGTTTGTGTTGATTACCTCTCTCATCACTTCTACAAAATAAAAATAAAAAAATTATATAATGGACATAAGAAATTGACTTAACTACTAAACATATTAATTAGATAAAATGGAAAAAATACAGAAAACCAATAAATAAATAAAAAATCAATAACACAAAAAAATACTTGAATATATTTCGATAAAAGACTGGATTAGTTTGGGCCTAAGCCTAAATAAATGAACATACGGCCCAATAAGGGTCTCCCAAATAAAAAGGCTTAACCTAAAACGACGTATCTTCAACAGCCAAACCTTTTCGCTGACGCAACCAAACTCCCAAAAATAAATAATATTTTATTATTTCTCTCTTTTTTCCTTGTTTCTTCTTCTTCTTCCTTCTACCTCTCTCCATCTCTCTCTATAATCTCCTTTTTTCTCTCTCTCCACGTCCGTAACACATCGGGTCACAGAAACCATCGATGCCGACCTCGATCTTTCTCCACTAGCTACTGATCTACACCTTTACACAATCCGTATATACATACATACTCTGTAAATCTATGGCCGCCGTCTCCTCTAACCCTCGCACCGTCGAAGAGATCTTCAAGGATTACACCGCTCGTCGCTCCGCTCTTCTCCGTGCTCTTACTAAAGGTCTGAGCAAAACCCATCTCGAAAGTTCCTATCTTTCTTCGTAATAATGCCTTTGGATTTTCCTTTAAAGTTTCCTCTTTTTGTTGATTTTTGCTCAGATGTTGATGATTTTTACTCTCAATGCGATCCGGGTAAGTCAATTTTAGCATTTTGGAGCTGAAAGGTTTTACCTTTTTATAAGAGATTTGATTTTTTGTGTGTGTGTGTGTGTGTGGTTGGTGTAGAGAAGGAGAATTTGTGTTTGTATGGACATCCGAATGAGTCATGGGAAGTGAATCTACCGGCGGAGGAAGTTCCTCCTGAGCTTCCTGAGCCTGCTCTTGGTATTAATTTCGCTAGAGATGGTATGCAGAGGAAGGATTGGCTCTCGCTTGTTGCTGTTCATAGTGATTGTTGGTTGCTCTCTGTTTCTTTCTACTTTGGTGCTCGCCTTAACCGCAACGAGAGGTCTCTTTTCTCTCTCTCTCTCTCTCTCTCTCTATCTCTTCTTTTTACAGATTTTATTCAAGTTTGAGCTTTCATTAAGACAAGTCTTGCATTTTTTTTTTTTACTTGGTTTTAATGGGTTTGTTCTTCTTACATGATACCGTTTGTGTTTCGGTCCGGTTTTAGCACTGACATGAAGCTGTCTGAAGGATAAAAATGTGTAGTGAAAAAAATTGAAACTGTTTTAGTAGTCTTTGTGTTTATTTGTTTTTCCCCCTTGATGTGTGTGTATGGTTCTTCTTTGCTTAGGCTATGTTAATTGTGGCTTGAATAATATCTATGGACGTCTTGATTGTTATTACTTTACCTGTCTAAACTTTCTTCAGCTCTTTCTTTCATCTTTGGTTACTGTATTGGCTAATTTGAAAGTTGATTTTTCGTCATTACTTGACTACTCTCCCTTATAACAGATGTTTAGTGGAAGCATTTGATATATTTTACCGTCTCACTGTTACATGTGAAAACTTATTTTAGTAACTATTGGAATCCCAATTACTTCGCTGAAAAAGGATATGTGAAAGCTGCATGTTGACAAAAATGGCTCTTTCATTTTCTACTAATGAGATCATATATACGGTTATAATTTATTTTAAAACTCATATCTTATATGTGCAGGAAGCGGCTGTTTAGTCTGATCAACGATCTCCCAACTCTTTTCGATGTAGTGACTGGTAGGAAACCCATCAAAGACAACAAGCCAAGCTCTGATTCCGGAAGCAAATCCAGGAACGGCACTAAGGTACATTAAAAACAGGATCTCACGTTTTTGTTCTTGATTTGTAAACTCTTTAAAAAAACAAAAATGGGTTGGTTGCAGAGATCAATAGAAGGGCATGCAAAGAGTCCAACACCAAGACTGATGGAAGAGAGCTACGATGATGAGGAGGAAGAAGAAGACGAGCATGGAGACACTCTCTGTGGTATCTGTGGAGGCAATTATACACAAGATGAGTTTTGGATTTGCTGTGATGTTTGTGAACGTTGGTACCACGGAAAATGCGTGAAGATAACTCCTGCCAAAGCAGAGAGTATCAAGCAGTATAAATGCCCTCCTTGCTGTGCAAAGAAAGGAAGACAGTGATGATGATGATCATCTCCCACAGACTCTGGTTCTCATGTCTTAATATTAATCAACTTTTTTTTCTTCTCTTTTTTTTGTTGTTGTTTATTTAACCTTTTAATTTCAAAGCATACGAAAAACTCTCTTTAGCTCACCAGAAAGGGATTCCAAGAAGTTGAGAGAGTGTAGCAACTGTTTGAGTACTATTATTCATATAAGTAAAACTAGTTTGTTCCTTCAATTGTGTCATGGGATTTGTGTATGTAGTCAAGAAAATCTTAAGCATTGAACTTTACTTTGCCCTCTATATTTAATCTTAAAACCCTTAAAAAGGATGAATCTAAGACAATGCTATAGATTCAGTACTGAAAACAAAGTTGTTGTTTCCATCTGATTGTATTCAGAGATAATACTAACTCTATGGTGTAGTAACACAATAGATTGACATTTAATAAGCAAAAAAATCAACTACTCAGAAATAGCTGAGTTTCACGGCTTATCTCTCCCTCTGACTGCTTCATTTTAACTTGCTGTTACCTTGATCTCCCCATATAGATTGGGATCTGCTTTATAGTATACAACATCTCCTTCGTCGCTCACATAATGATCTTCTTTCATACTTTTTGCTAAGATTCCCAGTAAATGTAATGGCAAAGGTCCAGACTTATCAGGCTCCCTGTAATACTTCCCTAATACTGGTTTGGCTGCTTCTGTCTGCAAAAGAAATGAGCAAGCAACCAAAAAAATACTCATAAGCTTTTGAAGTATGTACAACTCTGTTAGTCTTTGGTTTCAGTTACTTACCGCTTCTACTAGATGATAATGTGGGATCTGTGGGAAAAGATGATGTATCACATGAGTTCCAATGTCGTGGTGGATGTTATTGATCACTCCGTAGTCACGATCCAATGTTGTAAGCCCTCCTCTCAAGTAACTCCACTCCTGTTTTGGGAAAAACATGAGATATTAAGCAACAGTGGCTTTAACAATACATGAGACATTGCGTTGTCTTTACAGAATAGTTGAAGGCCAGAGACTATGCATTTTTACCTTCCCACGGTACCAAGGGAGCTTATCTTCATGACCATGGTGATGTAAATAAGTCACAAAGTCCAACCACATTACATTTATCTGTACATGACATTAAAAAAAAACAATTGTCAGGTTAAGGCAAAGAAACTCATACACAAATTTGTCTGATGAACCAGGGGAGTAACATGCGGTAGCATTACCCAGTAAGGAATGCCATAGAGTTTGAGCATTTGCATTGGACCCATCACGAAGTTAAGACAGATAAGCAGAGCAGCCATTGCAGTCCAACAAGCAGTAGATGTAAGAACATCCTTCTTCTCTTTAGGGAGGAACAAGTCGCTGTCCGGATGGTAATGAGAACCCTTTTTCCCCGGACTTCGAGCCCACTGAAAACATCAGATGATGAAACACATGAGCCTTTTTATTTACTTGATCATGTGTCAGCTTAAGTTATTACAGCAACAAAGAGATGAGTTTTTTTTGTCCTTACCAAGTAGAAAGGGTACGCGAGCATCACGAGAGGTAGTGTAAATCTAAAGAACCGAGTTGGTTTGTCCAAAGTCTTGAAGATTTTCTCAGACATCTGCAGTTACAGAAACAGTCTAAATAAAAAACAAACACCACATGGCTGAAACAAGAGCCAGTGTTGATAACTTACAGGATGCCAAGATTCGTCGTTCTCAACATGTCCATGGTTCTGGTGATGAGTTCTGTGACTAATTCTCCTGCAGACCAATCAAAGTTCATATATTTACACAAAGAAGATGATTGCTTTTTTTTTTAACTAAAATAGTTTGAAAGCAAAACTAACCAGCCATGGTAAGGGACTAGAATTGAGGAATGAAGAAGGTGACCAACCACACTGTTCAACCTCTGATCATTAGAGAAGCTCCCATGTCCACTGAAACCAACAGAGTATTGTGACAACTAGAAGAAGATCAAGAACATATACAAAAGCAGTAACTAGTTGCCATTGGTCTACACGCAACAGGATGATGATTATAAGGAAAGTTTACTACATCAGAACTCAGTTCTGTCCAACAGAGCCATTGAAGTCAAACAGATAGGGGTAAAGATGTAAAGCAAATATTTTTGTTTCAAATGGTTCCAAATTAAAAGTGATAATCATCCAAATTTTGACCAAGTCAAAGGCTAAACAGAAGGAACAAGAAAAAGATAAAAGGTTTTTTTTTTTAATTATAGTACCAGTCATGGCCAAGAACAAAGAGAGCCCAAAACATGGTTCCTTGAGCAAGCCAATAAAGAGGCCAAACAAGCCAACTGTTGAGGTAAGCAGCTCCAGCAGCCAATGCAAATACAATAGCAACGTCTCTCACAACATAACTCATCGACTTCCATGGATTCTTAACCCAACAATGCTTAGGTATAGCTGCTCTAATATCAGCTAAGTTGAACGGAGGAGGAGCGCCTGGATCGAATCTCTGCGTCTCGTGTTCTTCTTCCTCTATTGGAGGAGGAGACGAGTCAACTGTTAAAGGTGTGGTCACATTTAACGCCCAGTTTCTAGACTTCAGACCAAACCCTAGAGAAGTGGAAGAAGAGGATTGTTTGAGTTTGAAGGTGGTGTTGGAAAGGAAAGTGGATCTGGGTGTGGTGTAGATTCTGGGGAGAGGTCTTACGCCACATTCGGATAAAACCAATTTCGCCATTGTTGGAGCTCTCTACCGGTCTCTCTCTCTCCCCAGAAGAAGAAGAAGAAGATGAAGGACTCTGTTTATTTGCTCTGTTTATTAAATGAGAGGTTAACAGAAAAGGAGAAGAGATAATGTAATGAAAGACTTTAAAGAGAGAGAGAAAGATGTGAACTTGTGTTTCTTGTTGCTTGTCGTCTCTCTCTCTTGGTACACACAGTGTTTTCCTTTCTGCGGTCGGCAATTTAAATTACATTACACAGTGTCGAAAAGATCTGCAAGTTGAAAGGAGAAGGAAACTTAGTGCTGAGGTTAAAGGTGATTTTGTTCGTGTGTGTGGCGGTCAATTTTGGCCCAATTTTGTTCATAAGTATTATTCAACACGTCTTTAGTTAAAGCCCTTTTTTGAGAGATTGATGCGTATGTTTCATGACCCATAAAATATGTGAATCAATTAATAATTCGTTAAATTGATGCACCTTATTTTAGACCTTTAAAAAGAACTTGAGATGAATTTGGGAAAGAAGCCATTTTTGTACGCTTGTCACTAGTAGTTACCTGTTAGTGATAAGAAATTGGTTTTATTTTGACGATATCCATATATTTTGGTTTGTTGATTTTAATAAATAAGGCCAACAGAGCCCTAACAGTCATAAACTTACATTAGGTTATTTGAAATGTTGTTATCAATTTATCATATTCTCCGCCAATTCAGTGTAGGTTATTTTAAACTTTGGCAACCGGTTGGGTGATGATGACTTGGAAGTTGAAACATCACCTCTTTTTATGTTCATGACTTTAGTTTCTACTATCCAAATTACATACATTCTACAACAAGATAAGAGATATAAAGCACTTTCCAAAACCATAAACCTTACCTAAAAGTAAAACGAGAATTAGGCCAAAAAAAAACTCTAACTTTAAATAAATTGTCAAAACAAACACGAACATATTGGCTAGCCAAAAATACACTGAGCTATATTTAACTTTTAAACTTTAATTAGTAAGTTATCGCAGACTCATCAATTAAACATTTCGTTAGTAAATTTGACAGAATTATTGAATGTCGCTTTGAGATGAGATGAAAGGACATCTTATTACCTATTTTTATTATCAAAAACACGTTGATTGCTTGAGTCGAACTCAATAACACATGGCCAAATTACGAGGTTTCTTGTCACTGTGCTAGTGATACTTTTAAAGAAATCTCTAACATGGTTTTTTCATTGAATATCAAAAAAATCTTGAAAAATCTAAATTATATTTTAAAAAATCAAAAATATCTCAAAAATTCAAGAAAACTCTGAAAAGGTAAAATTAAAACTGAAATTACAAATATTTTTTTTGTCTAAAAAATCAAAACATTACAAATTTTTAAAAATATAAAATAATTCAAATAAATGCAACGAATTAAATTTTGTGATTAAAATTTTGAAAAATATTTTTATATAAATTAACGTATGTATTTTATCGCAAATATATTAATTTATAAAAAAAACGACCAAAAATTTTAAAAATAAAAAATATAAAAAAATTAAATGCAAAAAAATAAAATTAATGAAGAAATTAATTTGAAAACTCTTATGTAAATGAATGCGTGTAAGATAATATACAAAAGTATATTTATCACACTTATTTTTTTATTGATTAATGTATTTAAGATAAAATACAGAAATGATCTTAGATACATAATTTTTATAAGAATGTTTTTTAAAAAAAATTATTTTAATCATTAGGTTTTTTGTCATCTTTTGAATCATTAGTTTTTTCACATTTTTGGATTTTTTTTTGGATTTTTATGAATTATTTAATTAATTTTAGCGAAAACGTTAAATTTTATTTGTAATTTAATTTTTTTATTTTTATATTTTCAGAATTTTCTTGATTTTTGAATTTCTTAAAATTTTAAGGTTTTTAAAGATTTTTGGGATACTCAATAAAAGAAAATATGTTAGAGATTTCATCAGAAGTGTTGTTAGCTCAGTGACAAATGGCCATGTTGTTTGGCTTTGAGTTCCAGTCCTGAGATAGACTTGTTTTTCATTTTAAAAGCACACAAACGACGTCGTTTCACTTAATGTCGATATTTAACATTAAAATTACGGCCTCTACACTATAAGATCACGGTGTGCTAAAATGGCAAGTCAATGATAAGTTCTCCAATAAAATTAAAAATTTAAAGAAAGTACAGTATTTTTTGGTCAGTTTCGAGTTTAGATTTTATTTGGCAATTCATGTAAAGTTCGTGTTTTTTTTTTTTGCCGAATCCTCAAAATAAAACTCTTGTTACTTGTGTCACAGGAGAACTAAATGATTTTCTTGTATTAAGAAAATTACTAAATATTGTGGGGAAATATTGATGATGGAGAGAAAAAAATTGGGGGGGATTAGGTATGAAGTGCAAATATGGTAAATGTTGTAGGTATGTAGTACAAATATTCTAATCTATATTGTTTTTCTTCTAAAAATATATAAAATATTATTTTTATTATTATTAATATTAGCTACAGGTCCCGTATAAAATTAAGCGGGGCATTGTAAATTTAATTTTTTTTTAGTATGTCAGACGAGTCAAAATTTTAATTCAAAAAAATAAATTCAGTCCGTAGGTTGCCGGATCAAGCAGAACATGTTTGATGAGTAGCCCAACACTAGTTCTATTCTAAACAACTAAGCCGCTAACTGATAAACAGTGCCGGTTTAGGGGTAGTGCTGAGAGTGCACAAGCACTAGGTCCCCCTTTTTTCTTTAAAATTTCTTTGCAGGTTTAGGACCCTTGACAACTTTTAAATCTGTTATCGGTTTAGGGGTCCAATTTTTAAAATTATCTATTAGTATAAGAATTTGTTTTTATATGGCACAAGGCCCACCTATTTTTCGAGCCGGGCCTGCTGATAAAAGGCCATATCTCGTCTTGTCAGATTTCATTAAGGGTTCCCATGTAGCACCAGCACGTGAAGCTCCTGAAGGGCCCTAGTGGAATCAACGAGCAAACTTAAAGACATGGATACAAGTTACAACTGATGATGATAAATAACTTGATAACTCCAATAAAGACTCAGATTCTAGTAACAACATCAGTGACATTAACCAGTATCCTTACCAATTAATGGTTCTCACAGTAAAGTCCTTCTAGAGCTCAAAGTTAGTTGGAAGCCTTTCTCCTATATGTCTATAAATTTTCCAAGTAAAAAAAAGTTACTGATGTCTTTTCATCGTTTTTTTTTTCATTTAGAATATCCAATCACATTCAGAATGTGACTGGTTATTCATAGAGTAATTGTTGAAAAAAATGAGATGGAAAGAGAGGAAATAAGTTAAGTAACTTGGAATAAAATTTTCACCCGTTTAGATGTGTTTATTTCATTGTACAGTGTGATTAGTCTTAATTAGTTTACCCAGTCGTATGTTGCGCCGGCCGGCAGGTCATCCAAAATTGTTATACTCCTTGTAGAAGTAGTATAGTTTGATGTCTGCATGTAGACATGTGTTTTCTTTTTCCTAGCACTGCTTGTGTTCGTTGATAGGATGCGAAGGTCATATTTTTGGAAGCACGTTGTTGTCAAGTAGGGCGGTGGTGGATAGTTCTGGTTTGTATGTAGTAACTATAGAGATATTCTCGTATCTCTGATTATGTCAACTATATATTCTCGTATATACTGTAATCAATTCTTAGGGCTTTCTTTTCTCTGTATATAAAGCTCATGTACATTACGTTCTTATTCAATACAATACAACATCATCCTCTACATGGTATCAGAGCCCTCTTTCTAAGGGATCTGAAAAAAAAAAAAAAAAATTCTTTCTCGATTTGTTTCTTTTTCACCACGCCATGGCTCACACTAACGCCACCGCCGAAGTTATCAATACCGGCCTCATGTCAAACATTGTCTCTGTTAATATGGTTAACGTGACAAAGCTATCTTCGACAAACTACATCACATGGAGCGCTCAGATCAAATCTCTTCTCCGAGGTTATGATCTACTCAAGCACATCGATGCAACAGCTATTCCGCCACCGATGACAAATACCGGCAGCGACGAACGCAACCCTGAATACCTCATCTGTCAGAGGCAAGACAGCCTCGTTTATAGCTCACTTATGGGCTCTATTGAAATTACCAATCAACCCATGATCGCTACGGCAACTACTGCGCTTGAAGCTTGGACTCTCCTTGCATCCACCTATGCAAAACCGACGAGAGGCCACATCAAACAGCTTCGCAATCAACTCAAACAAAGCGTCAAAGGAACCAAAACCATTGATGAGTATATGCAGCAAATCAAAGTCAAATCTGATGCGCTTGCATTACTACGAGATCCGATGCACCCTGAGGATCTCACTGATGCAGTTCTCGACGGTCTCTCCGATGACTACAAACCCACGATAGAAGCAGTTCAGGCCCGTGATACTCCCATCTCATTTGCAGAACTCCATGAGAAGCTTATCACCCGAGAACTTGCTCTTTCAACAACGGCGCGTCCTCTGCAACAACAGCTTCTGATCACTGCCAACCATGCTCAAAGCCGCTCCAACAACTGGCGCAGCACCAATAACAGAGGAGGTCACAACAACAGAGGCGGTTACAACAACAATGATAACAGAGGTTCTCGGCCTTACCTAGGGAGGTGCCAGGCTTGCGGCACTCAAGGCCACAGTGCCAAGCGATGTCCTATGTTCCGAGTCGTGCCTCAGTCCTCCAACTCTGCTTCCTCGCATCAACAAGGGTACAACAATAACTATCCCCAACAGGCTCTACGAGCCTACAATGCGATGCTCCATAACCATGAAACCCCTTCTTGGTTGCTCGACTCTGGCGCTTCACACCATCTCACTTCGGACTTAGCCAATCTTTCACTCCACACACCTTACAACGGTGGTGAGGAAGTACAAATAGGCAACGGCATGGGTCTTGAGATAGCGAATACTGGTTCATCTTCCCTTCCTTCCCAAACTCGCAATCTCAAACTAAATAATATTCTTCATGTTCCAACAATTGCAAAGAACCTGTTATCGGTTCACAAACTATGCAATGATAACAATGTCTCAGTGGAGTTTTTCCCTAATGTGTTTCAGGTCAAGGATCTCAAGTCGGGGGCACAAATGATCAAGGGAAAGACTGAAGGTGGAGGTTATGTTTGGCCAAATCGAGACTCACCTCTTCCCTCAGCTTATTCTACTTCTCTCAAATGTCCAATCTCTATCTGGCACTCAAGATTAGGACATCCATCAATTCCTATTTTAAAAACTGTTGTTTCTTCTTCTATGCTTTCAGATTCAAACTCTTTAAGTTCCTTTCATTGTGATGATTGCTCAATAAACAAAAGCCATAAACTTCCCTTTGCTACAAACTCTTCTCTTACTACTTCTAAACCACTTGAGCTTGTCTTTTCTGATGTCTGGACTTCGCCTATTTTATCAATTGATAGCTTCAAATATTACGTTATCTTTGTGGATCATTTCACTCACTACATCTGGTTCTATCCCTTGCTAAAGAAATCAGACGTCAAAGACATCTTCATTCGCTGGAAATCGTTGGTCGAGACGCGTTTTCAACTCAAACTGCAGACGCTCTACTCGGACAACGGCGGTGAATACATAGCTCTAGCTGACTTCTTAGCCATGGTTGGTGTCTCTCATCTCACCACACCGCCACACACCCCTGAACACAATGGCTTCTCTGAAAGACGTCACCGGCACATAGTAGAAACCGGTCTCTCCTCGCTCTCTCATGCTCACATGCCACCATCTTACTGGACCTATGCTCTAGCAACATCGGTTTATCTCATCAACAGACAGCCAACCCCAACTCTATCTCTCATCTCTGCCTTTCAAAAACTTTTTGGTTCACCTCCAAACTACTCCAAACTTCGCTCATTTGGCTGCCTCTGCTATCCTTGGATCAAGCCTTATAACCACCATAAACTTGAACCCAAATATAAACCGTGCATCTTCATCGGTTACTCGCTTCATCAAAGCGCTTTCCTCTGTCTTGAGCCTTCCTCCTCTCGTGTGTATGTCTCTCGACATGTACATTTCGTTGAAACCCAGTATCCTTACCAAAACCTTTCTCAACCACCAGCTAAATTCAAGCCAGCCTTTCCTTCTTGGTGCCCGCCAGTCACCAACGTCCCTGTTTCGCCAAACATGCCTTCATCGCCAGTACTATCCCAAGGTTTGAACCCTTTGACTAATGAAACACCTCTTATTGTACCTCCTGTTGTTGTTACTTCTACTGAGACATTGCATGAACACAGACCAGAAATGGTGTCAACCACAACACAAGCATCAGATGCGGCTCCAGTGAGCACTGAAATAAATGCAACGACCGGACCACTTCCTGAATCGCAAAACAACACTCACAAGATGATAACTCGAGGGAAAAACAACATCTCTAAACCTGCCAAGAAGTTTGGTTTCACTGTCAACAAGAAGTTTAGCTTTGTTGTTAACAAGAAAACACTACTACCTTCAGAAAATGAGCCTACTACTGTGTTACAGGCTCTAAAAGATGAACGATGGAGAGACTCTATGGGTGAGGAGTTCAACTCGCAAGTAAAGCACCGTACTTGGACCTTGGTTCCGTACAACTCAAAGTATAATATTGTGGGTTGTCGATGGGTGTACATAATCAAGAGAAGACCAGATGGAACTATTGAGCGACTCAAATCACGGTTGGTTGCTAAGGGTTATCACCAAAGACCTGGTGTGGATTTCCAGGAAACCTACAGTCCCGTAGTCAAACAACCTACAGTCCTGACTGTCCTCAATCTTGCTGTCTCCAACAACTGGCCTCTGAGGCAACTTGACGTAAACAATGCATTTCTCCAGGGACACCTCCATGACGATGTCTACATGGAGCAACCGCCTGGTTTCATTGATAAAGACAAGCACCCCGTGTGTGGTACATGGAGCTCAAGACCTTCCTTGTTCAATCTGGTTTCCGACAATCACTTTCTGATGCCTCACTCTTCATACTCATCTCTGGTCCGGTCACTCTCTACGTCTTGATATACGTCGACGACATCATCCTCACAGGTAATGCACCCGAACGTGTCCAGCACTTCATCTCTATTCTGGCTCAGAAATTCTCAATCAAGGACTTGGGTGCTCTGTCTTACTTTCTCGGAATAGAAGCACAACGCACGCAGGCTGGACTTCTACTTACCCAACATAAATACATCAATGATCTCTTGGGTCGTGTCAAGATGACTGAAGCAAATCCAGCATCATCTCCCATGGTTCCTTCAGACCGTCTTCAACTCACTTCCGGCACTCCCCTTACAAATGGTTCTGAATATCGTATGGTAGTTGGGAGTCTCCAGTACCTACATTTCACACGTCCGGATATCTCCTTCGCCGTCAACAAACTGTCTCAATTCATGCACCGCCCAACTGATCTCCACTGGCAAGCAGCAAAACGGGTCCTACGATATCTAGCAGGAACACGAGATCAAGGCATCTTCCTTCGCAGCAACAACAATCTCTCTCTTCACGCCTTCTCTGATGCGGATTGGACAAGTAACCGTGATGACTACACCTCCACCAGTGCATACATTGTTTACCTTGGCTCAAACCCAATTGTCTGGTCATCCAAAAAGCAACAGACCGTTGCTCGGTCTTTAACAGAAGCTGAATACAGATGTGTTGCAGACACAGCAGCAGAACTTCTATGGATCGTCAGTTTACTGCAGGAACTCGGTGTAAAATCAAGCTCACAACCAGTCATCTATTGCGACAACGTCGGTGCAACATACTTATGTGCTAACCCGGTTTTCCACTCCCGTATGAAACATGTTGCACTTGCTTATCACTTCATCCGTGAACTGGTTCAGTCTAGTTTTCTCCGTGTCTCCCACGTCTCCTCCAGAGATCAGCTCGCAGATGCACTGACCAAACCTGTCTCACGGAGCACATTGGCCATTAACTCATCCAAGATGGGACTCTCTACCGGTCGTCCATCTTGAGGGGGCGTATAGAGATATTCTCGTATCTCTGATTATGTCAACTATATATTCTCGTATATATTGTAATCAATTCTTAGTGCTTTCTATTCTCTGTATATAAAGTTCATGTACATTACGTTCTTATTCAATACAATACAACATCATCCTCTACGGTAACCCTTCATGATATATAAATTTTAAATTTGGGAAAAAAAATTAGAGGAAAAAGTTACACTATCTTTATCAGTTTTATCCACTTTTGGTAAATGGGCTGAAACATTATTTCACCTGATTGGCTAGAAAAAGTTGAATCCATACTAAAAATTTAAATTGGAGTAAGGGTTTACTCTAAGAGCATCTCCAACCCCACTCCAAAACCCACTCCAAACTCCATTTTGAAGTAAAATCATCTCCAACCCTACTCCAAAACTCACTCCAAAATGGAGTAACAAACATGATTACTCCAAATATAGAGTAAACCAACTCATTACTCCAAAATGGAGTTGAAATTTTTTATTTATCAAATAGCCCTCCACATTTATATATGTTTCCTTTTTAATAAAATATTATTATAAATAAGTACTATATATATTATAAAATTTACTGTTATATTTCTTAATTATATAAATAGCCTCATTTTTAATAAAATAAAATTATAGATAAGTATATTAATATTATTTTACTATATATTAGAAAATTACTGTTGATATTTCTTAATTATATAAATAGCATCATCTTTAATAAAAATATTATTATAAATAAGTATATTAATATTATTTTACTATATATATTTTAAAATTTACTGTTAATATTTTTTAATTTATATAAATAACCATCTGATGAACTCTTTTATACAACATAATATATATAATATAAAACATAAAAGATCATACATATAGAAAATGAAAGATAAGCACCATACAAAAGAAATAACATAAAATAAAACTTACAACAAATATAATTGCTTAATAATCCGATAAATTATTTTCGGATCCATTAAAATTATTCAAATAAACCGATAAAATATTATTAAATTCTTACATAACATGATAATAGAAGATGATTGTGATCTCGAGGTGCCAATTGAAGTTAAAAGAGAAGTCCTGTCAAGGAAAATTGAAATTGAAGAAAATAATAATGTGAGGTTCCAAAAGTTTCTTTCCCAGTTCAGAGAAATCAAAGATAAAGAAGCTCATTTTTTACTTCGAAATACATTAGTTGATCATTTGTGGGAAAATTATTATAATTCTAATGAATAATTTAGAATTGATGTATTATTGTGTTTAAGCTATATAATGTAATTTTTAATGTATTAAATGTATTCTTTTTAAACCTTGTTGAGTAGTTTTATTTATATAATAAAAATTTAATTGTGGTTAATATTGTATTTAATAGAAATGCTATAAATTTAAAATGGACTGTTTTGCAAATAGTATAAATGAAAGGTGATATTCCTAATTTTGAAATAAATATAATATTAAAAATATTCTTTTGGAGTAGAAAATGTAGTAATACATTGGAGTAAAACTCAACTGCATTTTGGAGTTACTCCATTTTAGAGTAGAAAATGGAGTAATACATTGGAGATGATCTAACAAATACATCCAGTCACACTCCCAATTAAATTATCACTCCTCAATTGTAAACTACACGAGAAGTCAACCTAGCATACTAAGGATAGGGTACATGTCAAGTGTCATTATCAGTACTCTTATCACTCTGTTTCGTAACAAAACCCGGCCCATTTATTATCTTATTAGCTCGAATCAAACCCGACCCGACCCGTGAATGTGCACGTCGTCTCCTTTTGTTCTCTCTCTCATTATATTCTACGAGTGACTCCGATCGGATCGCTGTTCTTCCTCACCTTTCTCGTTTCACTCGCCTCAGATCTGGCACCGATCTCAAATCTTCTCCACTTCCAATCGCATCGATCCTCTCTCTCTCTCTCTTGGCCGTTGACGATCCCATCCCGGCCTTGGATCTGATTCTGTCCCCGTAATATTCTCTCGCCTCGCGATCTGAGCTCAAACCATGGCGGCAGCAAACGCCCCAATCACGATGAAGGAGGTCCTAACGGTAAGCTCTTCCCTCCTCAACCTCCATTTTTAGAAACATATGCAACATCTCTCGAAATCGAGCTAGATTCTGATCGTAGTCTCTGATCTCTGACGATTATATGATTGATTACCTTCTCTAACTGTTTTGAATTCTGATCGATTGGTTAGTTTGTATAATGCATTGGCTCTGATGAGATTTCCATAACATACGGCTCAGATCTGTGTTATATCAATGTGGTGATTCACTCGGATTCATTAACTAAGTGAAATGACGCTTTTGTTTTGAAATTTTTTGTTTACAGCTGCCTAGCGTTGGGATCAATCAGCAGTTCATCACGTTTACAAATGTTACTATGGAATCTGATAAGTACATATGTGTACGAGAGACGGCGCCTCAGAACAGCGTTGTGATTATTGATATGAATATGCCTATGCAGCCTCTAAGGAGGCCTATAACTGCAGATTCTGCTCTTATGAACCCCAACTCGAGGATCCTTGCCTTGAAAGGTATTTATCTGTTTCTTTCTATTAATAAATCGCGCACCAAGAATAATTTACTTTTGAAGTTTTTTCTTGAACTATCGTTGATAACTCCTACTTCGTTTAACGAGTGTGCGCCTGTTGTGATGCATCATTTGATAGAAAACCTATTATATTAATTCAGTATGGAAAACTCACTCATATGAATCGATCCTATGCTTTTCTGGACTTGTATAAGATAGTATGTCTAACGTAGATATCAGTGTAAAGTTCTATGTTTTCTGACCTGTGTTATATCTCACATGGTTGAGTTGTGTGTCAATTAGGTCTGTAGTGGATGTTTCTTTACATTGGATAGTGCTTGTTTCTTCGTTTGTTACTCACTCTTTTTCTTTAATTTGTATATAGCTCAAGTTCCAGGAACTACTCAGGATCACCTACAGATATTTAACATTGAAGCAAAAGCAAAGTTGAAATCACATCAGATGCCTGAGCAGGTGAGCACTGAAACAATCTTTTTGTTTCTCGATTATCTTTCATGTTGAACACTTTATCAAATTCTGATTTTACTTGTCAGAAATTAATTTTTGGATATTAACCGCCCATGTTTTATAGGTTGCTTTTTGGAAATGGATTACACCAAAGATGTTGGGGTTGGTCACACAAGCTTCCGTGTATCATTGGTCGATTGAAGGTTCTATATCTTTAACTTGCTGTCATCTTCTTAATATTATCTTCATGTTATTTCTCATTTTTCGGTGTTATTTCCAGGTGATTCTGAGCCAGTTAAGATGTTTGATAGAACGGCCAATTTGGCAAACAATCAAATTATTAACTACAAGTGCTCTCCTAATGAGAAGTGGTTGGTGTTGATTGGAATTGCTCCTGGCTCCCCTGAGGTTGGTTTACTGCGCCACATTTTAGGGTGATTGGAAGACATTATAATGGCAGTCATTGTATATATTTTTGACTGGGTCGTTTCATTGTTATCTTCTATAGAGACCACAATTGGTGAAAGGAAATATGCAGCTTTTCTCTGTGGATCAACAGCGGAGCCAGGCTCTCGAAGCACATGCTGCTTCATTTGCCCAGTTTAAGGTAAACTATGTTGTTCTTTTGTTAGTTCATTCCATCCTGAACTGTAACTGGCAACTAACATTATTAACGATAGGTCCCTGGGAATGAGAATCCTTCTATTCTTATATCCTTTGCAAGCAAGAGCTTCAATGCTGGACAGATAACATCAAAATTGCATGTCATTGAGCTTGGTGCCCAACCAGGTTAGCTTCCTCGACTGTTTTGTATTCATGTTTATTTATTTAGGGTATTTAGTTACGTTTTAGTTGGTAATCATCTGAGGTCTAAAGGTGGGCAATTTTTTTTCTTCAGGAAAACCATCATTTACAAAGAAGCAGGCCGATCTCTTTTTCCCCCCAGATTTTGCCGATGATTTTCCTGTAGCCATGCAGGTTTGTAGTTGCATTAGAAGTTCGATTTACGTAATATTCTAGTGAAGATTTCATAATACATTTGTTTTTTCCCGACAGGTCTCTCACAAGTTTAACTTGATATATGTCATCACCAAGCTTGGCTTGTTGTTTGTATACGATTTAGAGACGGCTTCTGCTATCTACAGAAATAGGATAAGTCCAGACCCAATTTTCTTAACTTCTGAAGCTTCCTCACTTGGGGGTTTTTATGCCATTAATAGGCGAGGACAAGTTCTTTTGGCTACAGTAAACGAGGCTACGATAATACCTTTCATTAGCGGTCAAGTATGTTTAACCTTTTCCAGTTTACTCGACACAATCTATCTATTTGATCATGGCATGCTAAAACTCTGTGTTTTTTGTTTGACAGTTGAACAATTTGGAACTTGCTGTCAATCTGGCTAAAAGAGGAAACCTCCCTGGTGCAGAAAACCTGGTATGTGATGTTTACCTTGGTTCACATGTGTGGATTTGTTCTCTTACTGAAGTAACTGTAGGAAACGAAAACAGTCATTCGTTGATGCGAAAGTTCTCATATTCAGTTTGTTGTTGTAGGTTGTCCAACGATTCCAAGAGTTATTTGCTCAAACAAAGTACAAGGAGGCTGCTGAGCTTGCTGCTGAATCTCCTCAGGGGATTCTACGGACACCTGATACAGTGGCCAAATTCCAGGTTTTTCTCCATTTTCAAGCTAATTATCCTTGGCAAACATGCTATCTACTATCAGATTAAGTAACACCAATATAAAACTGCAACATCGCACTACTCAACTATGCAGAGTGTTCCGGTACAAGCTGGGCAAACTCCTCCATTGCTACAGTATTTTGGGACCCTTTTGACTAGAGGGAAACTCAATTCATATGAGTCTTTGGAACTGTCTCGGCTTGTTGTGAATCAAAACAAGAAGAACCTCTTGGAAAACTGGTTGGCTGAGGATAAGTTAGAATGCAGTGAAGAACTTGGAGACCTCGTCAAGGTAACAATAAAATTGACCATTGTCCTTTATTTCTCGTGTAGAATGTGTAATGATAATATTTTCTGTTCCAGACTGTGGATAATGACCTTGCTCTGAAAATATATATCAAAGCTCGAGCTACTCCAAAAGTTGTTGCAGCTTTTGCAGAGCGAAGGGAGTTTGACAAAATACTGATTTACTCAAAGCAGGTAAGTAATAACTTTAAAAGTTTTCCCTCCCCTGCTAAGGTTACAAGAGAGTAACTGTCCTAAAACTGTGCCATTTTTTCATATCGGGACTCTAGGTTGGGTACACACCTGATTACATGTTTCTTCTGCAAACCATACTCCGTACTGATCCTCAGGTTAGTGTGGTGCATTTTTGATACTTACAACAATTTAAACTTGGGAAAGACTGGTTTACTTGGATGCTTGGTGCGTAAACACAAGAGTAGTCATGAATCGATTTAACTTATAATGACTAATTTTAACTTGATTTTATTATACAGGGAGCAGTAAATTTTGCTTTAATGATGTCCCAAATGGAAGGGGGCTGTCCAGTTGACTACAACACCATCACCGATCTTTTCCTACAGGTTGGTAAATAAGCATAAAATAGTGTATACAACAATATTCATAGCTCGTTACAAGAGAGTTATCATGTGCTAATTTACTTGTGCATATACAGAGGAATCTGATCCGTGAAGCAACTGCTTTCCTTCTCGATGTTCTGAAGCCAAATTTACCTGAGCATGCTTTTCTGCAAACTAAGGTTGACAAGAGTTCCCACCTTCTAACTGTCTGTACTTTCCCAATACATTACCTTTCTCAGGCCTTTTACTTCACTTTCAACTTAGGTTCTGGAGATCAATTTGGTAACTTTTCCAAATGTGGCTGATGCAATTTTAGCAAATGGGATGTTCAGCCACTATGACCGGCCTCGTGTTGCTCAGCTTTGTGAAAAGGCTGGACTTTATATCCAATCTTTAAAGGTTATTGATCAATGTTTACTTGTTTTTATTTGGTTTAATAGATTTTTTTTTTTGTCTTTTCTTCTCTAATTTCTTTTCCTTTTGCTTTGTGCAGCATTACTCAGAGTTACCTGATATAAAACGTGTGATTGTGAACACACATGCTATTGAGCCACAGGTAATACCTCTGAACTAATTTTTTGTTGCGAACTCCTGGATGGTCTCAGTTTGTTAAATAATTCTCTGCGCCATGCAGGCTCTTGTTGAGTTTTTCGGTACTCTTTCCAGCGAATGGGCTATGGAGTGCATGAAGGATCTTCTGCTCGTCAACCTGAGAGGCAACCTTCAGATAATCGTTCAGGTAAGTGCTGAGTTGTGTTATGATATGAATTTTATTGTTTAATGTGACACTGACGTGTCCATATCATTGCAGGCTTGCAAGGAGTACTGTGAGCAACTTGGTGTTGATTCATGCATTAAATTATTTGAGCAGTTCAAGTCGTACGAAGGGCTATACTTTTTCCTAGGTTCATATTTAAGTATGAGGTGATTTATCTAGAATCTACTGTCTCTCTTATAAATAAGCAAAATTCTTGTGTTTGCATTCTGATGATATAGAATGTTTTCCCTCTGTGCTATAGTGAGGATCCCGAGATTCACTTCAAGTATATTGAAGCAGCTGCAAAGACTGGTCAAATAAAGGAGGTTGAGCGTGTGACTAGAGAGTCTAACTTTTATGATGCTGAAAAGACTAAGAACTTTTTGATGGAAGCTAAGCTTCCTGATGCCCGACCTTTGATAAATGTCTGCGACCGTTTCGGCTTTGTGCCTGATCTTACTCATTACCTGTACACTAACAACATGCTTCGTTACATTGAAGGTTACGTTCAGAAGGTATGGAGTATCTTGAGACTAATGTAGCGTGTGGAAGTTTGGCATTTTATGCGTAAATAATTATAATGTGATTCATTTTGCAGGTGAATCCTGGGAATGCCCCCTTAGTTGTGGGGCAGTTGCTTGATGACGAATGCCCTGAAGATTTTATAAAAGGCCTCATTCTCTCTGTTCGTTCATTGCTTCCTGTTGAACCCCTGGTTGATGAATGTGAGAAGAGGTGTGAATCTCTTCGGTCATCTTGGTTTCCTTCCATATTCCCCTTAGTTTTTAAAGCTCTAATATGTATTTGTCTGCTCTATTCAGAAATCGACTCCGTCTCCTCACTCAGTTCTTGGAGCATCTAGTTAGTGAGGGAAGCCAAGATGTGCATGTCCATAATGCCTTGGGTAAAATTATCATAGACAGTAATAATAACCCTGAGCATTTCCTGACCACCAACCCTTACTACGACTCTAAGGTTGTGGGTAAGTACTGTGAGAAACGTGATCCCACCCTGGCTGTTGTGGCATACAGAAGAGGACAATGTGATGACGAACTCATCAATGTCACCAATAAGAACTCTTTGTTCAAGTTACAAGCCAGGTATTTGATTACTGCTAACCAAACTTCTTACTTATTCCATAGTGGTTCATGTAAAGTCTGCTTATGGACGGTTTTCCAACTGCAGGTATGTAGTGGAGAGGATGGATGGTGACCTCTGGGATAAGGTTCTCGTGGAAGAAAACGAATATAGAAGACAACTTATTGACCAAGTTGTGTCTACTGCTTTACCCGAAAGCAAGAGCCCGGAGCAAGTTTCTGCAGCTGTTAAAGCATTCATGACTGCTGATCTGCCGCATGAGCTTATCGAGCTTCTTGAAAAGATTGTGCTTCAAAATTCTGCCTTCAGTGGAAACTTCAATCTGCAAAATCTGTTAATATTGACAGCTATCAAGGCGGATCCGTCTAGAGTTATGGATTACATTAACAGGCTGGATAATTTTGATGGTCCGGCTGTTGGAGAAGTGGCGGTTGATGCTCAATTGTATGAGGAAGCATTTGCGATTTTCAAGAAGTTTAACCTAAATGTCCAGGCGGTCAACGTATTGTTGGACCACGTCAGAAGCATTGAGCGTGCTGTTGAGTTTGCTTTCCGTGTCGAAGAAGATGCTGTTTGGACCCAAGTCGCCAAGGCTCAACTCAGGGATGGACTAGTCAGTGATGCAATTGAGTCCTTTATTCGTGCTGAGGATGCCACTCATTTCTTGGAGGTCATACGGGCTACTGAAGATGCTAATGTCTATGATGACTTGGTCAGATACCTTCTGATGGTTAGACAGAAGGTCAAGGAGCCCAAGGTTGATAGTGAGCTCATCTATGCATATGCAAAGATCGATCGGTTAGGTGAGATTGAAGAATTTATTCTGATGCCAAACGTTGCTAACCTACCAAATGTGGGCGATCGCCTGTATGACGAAGCTTTGTATGAGGCTGCAAAAATAATTTATGCGTTCACATCGAACTGGGCCAAGTTAGCCGTCACACTCGTGAAGTTGCAGCAGTTCCAAAGTGCTGTTGATGCCGCAAGGAAAGCCAACAGTGCAAAGACATGGAAGGAAGTTTGCTTTGCTTGTGTTGATGCTGAAGAATTCCGGCTGGCACAAATATGTGGACTTAACGTTATCATCCAGGTGAGTAAATATCTGATCTTGTTGAAAGTTTCGGTCAATTTTCTTTATATTATTATCCCACCGTTAATCTTTTTGTCCTATAACAGGTGGATGACTTGGAAGAAGTCAGCGAGTACTACCAAAACAGAGGATGCTTCAGTGAATTAATCTCACTGATGGAGAGTGGACTTGGTCTGGAACGGGCTCACATGGGGATCTTCACCGAGTTGGGTGTACTGTACGCCAGATATCGTTATGAGAAGCTTATGGAACACATAAAGTTGTTCTCGACTCGCCTCAATATTCCCAAGCTTATACGGGCCTGTGATGAGCAGCAGCATTGGCAGGAACTTACCTATCTTTACATTCAATATGATGAGTTTGATAACGCTGCAACCACTGTCATGAACCATTCTCCTGAAGCATGGGAGCACATGCAATTTAAAGACATTGTCGCCAAGGTTGCGAATGTGGAGCTGTACTACAAGGCCGTTCACTTCTACTTGCAAGAGCACCCTGATATAATCAACGATCTTCTCAATGTGCTCGCTCTGCGGTTAGACCACACACGTGTCGTTGATATTATGCGCAAGGTTCGAGGCTGACTCTTGAATTTGTTTTTTCCGTGTCTTGATAGTGATTGATCTTCTGATGCTATTTTTTTCTTCATGAATCTCAGGCTGGTCAGTTGCGCCTTATTAAGCCGTACATGGTTGCAGTTCAGAGCAACAATGTTTCTGCTGTAAATGAAGCTCTGAATGAGATATACGTAGAAGAAGAAGACTATGACAGGTTGCGCGAGTCTACTGATTTGCATGACAGCTTTGACCAGATTGGCCTCGCTCAGAAGGTAAGATTTACAACTATCTGTCGAGTATATACAGTTTACATCTTCCATTGTAACTATTTCTAAATAATATTCACGTGAAATGGTGTGAACAGATTGAGAAACACGAGCTCGTGGAAATGAGACGTGTGGCTGCTTATATCTACAAGAAAGCCGGCAGATGGAAGCAATCAATTGCTTTGTCGAAGAAAGATAACATGTACAAGGACTGTATGGAAACTGCTTCACAATCCGGCGACCATGACCTTGCAGAACAACTTCTGGTTTACTTCATTGAACAGGTATGTCTTTCAAGCACAAGTACATCAAAAGCCATTTATTATTCCTCTAGCTTTTTTCATAAGCCGTAAAGAGATTAAGAAAATCCTTTTTATCACAGGGGAAAAAGGAATGCTTTGCCACATGTCTATTTGTGTGTTATGACCTAATCCGACCAGATGTTGCTCTAGAGCTTGCTTGGATCAACAACATGATTGACTTTGCCTTCCCGTATCTCCTCCAGGTGATTTATCCTCAACATCACTCAAAACGAGATACAGGAACCATGTAGACTTGATATATATGACCAATCTTTTTTTCTATGGCAGTTTATCCGAGAATACTCTGGCAAAGTGGATGAACTAATCAAGGACAAGCTAGAAGCACAAAAGGAAGTGAAGGCCAAAGAGCAGGAAGAGAAGGATGTTATGTCCCAACAGGTACTTACCCTTCACAGCTAATTCTCATACATCAAACCCAAAAATGGTTTTTAAAATAGAAATAAAAACACACACATCTTGATTTTGTTATGAAAACAGAACATGTACGCTCAATTATTGCCACTGGCTCTACCTGCACCACCGATGCCAGGAATGGGAGGAGGTCCAAGTATGGGAGGCGGTTATGGTCCGCCACCACCGATGGGTGGAATGCCGGGGATGCCTCCGATGCCACCATATGGAATGCCACCGATGGGCGGCTACTAAGACTGTTGGAAACGAAGTAATAGTTGCGTAATCTCTACCACTCGGAGTGTTTCTTTCTTTGTTTGATTCTAATAGGTATGTGTGGATAATAAGCTCGTACTTTTGTTTGTAATATTCTTTTGGGGGTCTTAGGTGAGTCATTTTTGGTTGAAAGATCATTTTATTATTTTTCTTTAGAGGGGAGAGAGGTGACTCCTTAACAGTCCTTTATCATCTTACTTTGACCTTATCTCATGTTGGTGGTTCTTTCTTTCAGCACATTGTTTTTTCACTTATACAATTTCCGATATTTTAAGATATTGAAGAAATTGACACGAAGCCATGAATAGAGCAGTGAGTCAGTGACAAATGCTATTCATCAATCACTCTTGGCAGAGCCTCGAAACTTCAAGGGCGTTGGAAAAGTTTGAAACGAATGGTGTCAAAAGTTTTGGCTATCTTTACATTTTAGTTTCGGAGACTGGAATCGTGTTCTCAACAATTTGCCTTACATGAATACATTTTGATTTGCTAAGATTAGTCAAGTCAAGATAAGAAGCTTGAGGGAGGATTGAGATACTGGTTTGGGACAAGGCAAAGCTAAGGCAGTATAGGGCTTAAAATTCTATCGGTTCATTTTTTGAATCTTTTTTTTTTTTTTGTATATAACTAATAGAGAAGTAGAGAAGGAAGCACTGAGTGTAATAAGGTTTTTTTGAATTAATTTAACAGTCAATTCAAAAAAAAAAAAAAAAAAATATATATATATATATCCATCGAAAGATTAACTGTTGGTTTGTAGTGTGCTTATAACGAGACTGCGATGACGCAAATTCAAATTAGAAGTAAATATCTGCTGCCCTATTCGGACTCATAAATCTTTAATAAATGTGGTCTTCCAGTAACCCCAAAGTAGTCTTTGTAATATCAGTGGATACTAACGTTTCCGAGAGTATCTGCCTTCGGGGATTTCCTTATGACTTAATCGTAAACTTAGATAAATTCAGTTCATTTTACATGGTATTAATTGTGCTTCAAGTAAGTTATATTTGTCACAAGATGGATGAAGATTTCACATTTGATACAAGGCTTGCATAGCTTTTTAATAATGTCACTAGGACGGAGCAACCGACGTAATGGATAACTGGTAGGAATTCAATTTTCTCAGGTGTTTTCCATGTGTCCACCATGCATATGGTAGCCATGGGACCATTAAGTAATTGAAGGTTGTGTTGGAACTTAGAAGAAGTGCTATTTAAGTTAGCCTAGTGTCATGAACACAAACTTTTAACTGAAGTGTATTCTGATCAAAGAAGTAATCAATAAAAAAAAAAAAAATGGAAGGCAAAAGTGTGATAAGTGTGCTCATAATGAGTCTGGTCATGGTGCAAATTCAAGTTGAAGCAACAGTCTGCTGCCCATCCGAACGGGCTAGAAAAGCCTATACAATATGCCTCTATGGTAGCTTGCCTTCAACTTGTGCCCGAGTATGTGGATGCGTGAAAGTTTCTTCTGGCAATGTGTGCCCTTCAGGATATCCTAACGACATTCTCGAAAAATCGGGTAAAACTGAACTCATTTTATAGTCTTTTTTTGTGCTAGTAATAAGATATTTGTTACCAAGATGGACCAAGCTTTCATTTTAGTCTTTGATTTTGTTTTTTCACATAAGGTAATAATGCCAACGAATACTGCAAGTTGGGGTGTGCATCCTCTGTCTGTGGTGCCATGACCACTTTCCATAACTCGGGTAAAACAAGCTCATTAGCGATCATTATTGCTATATTTATTAGAATCATAGACAACGCAAGAATAATACATTCCAATTTTGTTTTGGGTGACTAGGTGCAAGTGAAGTTGTGGATGAAACGTTTGAACGGTGTGCCAAAACATGTGCTACTTTCTGCAACAAGGGCTTTATTAAGCCTGCAGCTGAATCTGCCTAGAGAAGCATATCTACAAAAGTATCACATCTAAGTGTCTATGTGTTTAATTGTTGTTATGAAAATATGCTGAAAATGCTAGACTTTGCTGCTAGTATTTTAATAAGTTGTTTCTGGTTTGTGCAAAGTGTTTAGAAGGTTGTCGATCCTAGATCATATATGCCTTCTGTTTTCTATCATCTAAATAAAAAATAATGTGTTACTAACTTACTATAGCATTATGGAAAAAAGAGGAATGAGATCAACGATAACAGAGGCTTAAGGCACATCTACGATAAGTAAGCAAGTCTAGATTCATCACCATTTCGCTTAAGGTTCTAAAAATCGGTTTACAGGTTGTCCAAACTTTCTAAAACAATTTCCAATAAATCTGTTTTAGACACTAATAAAGATTTCTTGAAAATTGGTGTGATCAGACAAATAATCAATAAAAAGATAGATGCCAAAACTGTGATATCTTATCATTATAAGAATGCCAATCAATAACCGATGGGAAGTCATTAAGATCCCCCTTTACATATCAGAAACAAATAATCCCATTTGCAACATCTGAAAAGCATTTATCGATTCTCAGCCAATCTAACTTAAGAGCATCTCAATTACCATTAAGCATATTGTTTAACGTCCCCAATCCCATATGTACTGAGAGTAAAGTATAATCAGAGTACAGATGTTGACTTTATCTAATGTTAATAAACCTGAGTGAGTCTTAATATAAAAAGAAAAAAAAACATAACGATCTATTAATTTGGTCCAAAATGAAACATTCAATTCGAATCGCAAGTACAGAGTTTGGTTTTTAACTTAAAACGACAAAACACACAAGGATCGGTATTGTTCGAAAACACTACTTAGATCGCTGTCTCATCTTTCGTCTCTTCCTCTTTAGTCTCCTCATACGCTTCTTCTTCCACTGATACCAATTCAAACAAACATTTTTTAACTTTCCTATTCTTACCAAATTCGAGAATCTATTAAGATAAGCGATATCAAATACTAACCTTAGCCCTCATGCTGGATACACAGAAGATAAACTCTTCACTTGTCGGATTACAATATCTAACTCCTACGAAAGAAGCGGCCGGAGAAGAAAAATTCTGAAGTTCCTTCTTATTGCTTCTTTATATGACAGCAAAAACCCTAAGGGTAGTAGAGACTCGTTTTCTTGTTTTGCTTTTTGGGCCGATTGATGCTAACTTAGGCCCAGTAAAGCCCATAGTTTGCTTTGCCAAGCCTCTTGGGTGTTACTCCCTCCAATCAATTTAATTAATGTTATAAGGTTTTTTATTTTGTTTCATAATAAGTGATAGACCGAACAAAAAAACCAGAACCGAAGAACCAAACCGACATCGAACCGCAATATCCAAAACTAGAACCGAACCGAAATCCTTAAATATCTGAACGTTTCTTATATTTATATATCCAAAATAACCGAACCGAACCGAGACCGAAATACTCGAATATATAATAATATTAATTTTATATACATATAACATAACTAAATATATTATTTTAATTTAAAAATTTATTAAAAAGTACAAAATAGTTGAAGATAACTAAATAATTATAAAGTATCTGAACTACCCAAAATTATATGGATAATTTTATCCGAAATATCCAAAGTAATCCGAAATATCCGAAATTTATATCTAAATCATTCTAATTATTTGATATTTTATCCTAAATAACCGATAACTTATCCAAACTACCCGAACCCGAACAAAAACCAGATGAGAACTGAATTTTCCAAGTATTTTCTAGTTCCTAGTTTTACTATCCGAACCGAACCGAATCCGAAACTACCGGAACCGAACCGATGCCAAAACGCCCAGACCTAATCTCACTATTCTAAGTAAAATTAATATTATTTAAATTTAGTGATCTTTACAAAATATTATTATTTTCTTATTTTTGAATTAATTTTATTTTGATATAACTAAAATGAATACACCTTTTTTTTTGTATTTTAATTTTTTTTGTGTAAAAACCTTAAACATCATTTAAAATGATAGGGGGGGGGGGCGAGTATTATTTAACTAAGACTTCTATTTTGTCGACTGCATCATTTATTTCTAAAATATCTACAATTAGTTATTGTCATGTACAAATAATAAATATCTTCACAAGATGAAGAAGTGATAAAACTTCACAATCAATGATTAATATAAAACATTTACATAAATATCTTAATTTTTCAAATAAACTGCAACCATTAACTCCCTCCCATTCCTATCTGTCTATAGCAAATATCTTTACTCACTATCACTCACCACGCCCTCTCGCAGTCTCATTGCAACGACACAGACGAGTCGACTCGGATAGAGACTCGGCATAGGGGACAACTCGACTCAGTCATAAGCCACCTATCCACACATTCACAGTGGTAACAATGGCGACACATAGGAAGCACTTTCATCTTCTCTCCCTCTTCCAAACCACCGAGGCATATGCAACACTCCCTCTCCTCCTCCTCCGCAGCTTCTCTCCGGCATAGCACCACCGGTATACTCCGTATCTCCGCCGGGTCAAGACCTCCGCTACTAACACACGGTGTTAACGGAGGAGACGGCGCGTTGAGGTAGATGGTATCGCGAACGAGGCAGCTCCGGTGGATGTAGAGAGTGAGCAAGGCGAAGAAGAGGATAACGGAGAGTAGAGCCACGACGGAGAAGATCGTCCGGCCGTGAATCTGGACGTTCCGGTCGTCGTACTGGCTCTCGTGCCAGTACAAAAGCATTGAAGGTCTTGGAGGCGGTGATGATGACGTCATTTCTCGGCTTGCGCTTGATGGCGTTTTTTTTTTTGGTCGTAGCTAGTTAACGCACAATGTGTCCAATATATATATACACAGTTTTTGCTAATCACGTGATACATTTGATGATTTTAATACTCTTTGTTAAAACTAAGCCGAGCGAATATTAATTAAGAGTCAAGATTGGAGGAAAGTGGGTTTTTACAATTGTTTTTATTTTCTTCAAGTGCTTTGAGAACTACGTTAGTTAAAGACGAGAGTAGGCGCCATGCACGTTTGTGTTTTCTCAACCATCAAAATGTTATTGATAATAAAAGATACAATAGTATAGGTAAATCACTTTGCTCAAAGAAAAAGGTATATTAAAATCACTAAAACATGACGAAACATATTGGCTTGCTTTTATAAGCAGCATACTAAAAAATTAAAAATATATTCTTCCGATTAACTGTTACATATCATCTCATCTATACTGAAAGAAAAACAAGATTCGTTTATATTAACTAGATTAAACGAAAAAGGCTAGCCATGCATGCAAAGTTGCAAACGACATGTTCTCTTTTTGTAACAAGGAAACGTTTGGGTCAAACCCTAATCTTGTCGTAGGTCCAGGACTAATACGGTATTAGTAATACATTATGATATGTAAAACATATTTTCTCGTCACTTTGTCAGAAGAAAAAAATAGAAACACAACGAACCAATTCCTTGTACTAAATCACTGTTGCTATATAAATTAAAGAGTTTATCATTTCCATTAGCTAGTTTATACGGATTCGAGTAAAGACAATTCTTGGAACTGGTTAAAATTTTAATAATAATCAATAATTAGACACACGTCATTGCAACCATTTCAAACTAAATCTAATTACACGTTTCAAACGAACATCACTTTCATAGCTGCAAATCATGCTTGTAGTTATATATGTCGAACGGTGGAGATATTTCTTGTCCACTTAACTTAGTTAGGAAAAGTCGAACGGTTCAATCCACAGATCCTTGCTAGTTGGCTCTTCGATAACCAAACACTTTTAATTGACAAAAAAAGAAAGTCACCTTTCTATATACAAGTCGCAGGAAGATTTTGGCCAGAAGTTTAGTACTCGTAAGAAAAATAGTGATTAGGCGAGGAGTGGCATAATAATTGGTGCGAGACAGCAAAAGGACATACTATAGACAAGACACGGCACGAAACAAATACTATAATCCAAGACCTAACACGTTTGGGATGATCTCCCGTACCTTTACCAAACTATTAGCCTACTCACATAGCACTGGGCAAATAAATCAAATCCCAAAACCCGAACCAAATCCGATCCGATAAAAATAAATCCGAATCGAACCGAACCCGACATAAATACCAAATAGATCTTGTTTTATAGTATTTCGGATATGTGTACTATCCAAACCGAAGTTAAATGGGTATCCGGTAAAACCCGAAATATTCAAAATCTCATAAAAAACTTATATCAAACATGATCTCAATTCCTAATATATGTCCAAAATACACTAAGACATTATTGAACATCTAAAATAATTATCTATTACATGAAAGTTGATGGTTGAAGGTGCCGGTTGAAAATTGAAATTTTTAGATTTTGGTTTTGTTTTCATTGAATAATGTTTCTTGTTTCATGGCAATTTAGTTTTTGTTTTATGCTTTCATTTATTCGGTCTTCTTTCTATCAGTAACTATGTTTACATTTCGTTTGATTTTGAATGATCACGTTTGATGCTCTTTTATTATTTTTGAATCGATTTTACTTATGTTTTGGTTACAAAATATGTATAAGTTAGATACTTTAAAACTGAAGATCTAATTTACTTATGTTTTGGTTACAAAATATATAAAAAATCAGGTACTTTTAAACCGAAAAAACGATTAGGACCCAAATCCAAAAATATATCGAGTTGTACCGGTTCTCGAAAGATTTACTTACCCCTATCCGAATCCGATAGAATCTGAACCGATCCGAACCGAATTTTCAGATAATCTGAATGGGGCTGACTTTAAGAGCATCTCCAACTAGTCCCTTCATTTTAAAGAGGGTCCACCTTTAAAATAAAAGGGATGGAAGGGTAGTTCTCCAATGGTGGCCTTCAAAATTTTTCTCTTAAAAATTTATTTTTACACTTTGGTCCTCAATTTCATTAATAGTTAATTATAATTATTAAAAAATCAACAAATAAACAATAAACACATATTAATACATAGTATTGGCATAATTAATTATAACATCAAATTACTTATAATAAAAGATAAAATACATAAAATTACATATAATAATACACAAACAATTAAAATTACAATATATATATATAGTGTATATATATATATAATAAAAAACTAATCAATACAATTATTTCCGTACTTTTTTGCTATCTAGATTAATACTCTAACTAATATAAAAATGGAGGCTGAAAATAAAATCTTCTTAAAAAATTTAAACTCCATCAATGATATTAACACTCGCCAGTTTTTTCCGATTTGAACAACAAGAATCATAAAAACAAACTCAACAATAACAAACCGAAGAGAGTGCTCTAAATTTATTTCGAGAATATTTTGGTGATTTTGGAGGTTCAAGACCAAATTTAATTGAATTTTAGTATTATAATATATATTTAAATGTGTAATATTTCAATTTATGTATTTAGCTGAATATTAGTATTGTAATATATATTCTAATGTGTAATATTTCAGCTTATGTAACTTTTATTCTGATGTAAAATATTATGATTGTATTATATTTTTGTATTTGCGTTTTTTAAAGGGATGAACAATGCACTTTCAAATTTGAAGATATACTGTTCACCTCTTCAAAATTTGAAAGGATGAAGGACTGTTGGAATATAAAACTTTTCGAAAAATAAAAGGATAAAATATTGTTGGAGATTCTCTAATAAATCCAAAAAAACCAAAACTTGATTGAACAAAACCGAAATCCGATTAGGACCCCGAACGCCCATGCCTATACTCACCTCTTCCCTCAATTACATCCCATCAGTTTTTCACCTCCAAGCTCTCTCCTAGTCAAGTTTGTTACCAGTGTAACGTAATTGATCTATATGACATGATTTGAATTTATAGTGTTTGAAGCAATTATAGTTTATAAACCTGATAATATATATAATAAATACTGGATGGTTTGAGATCCGAATGACCGAATGATTCATATAATCATATATATATATTTATAAACACTTGAAATTTAGGGAGGATTAAAACAGATGTTTTGTTCAACTCATTGAAACTGGAGAAACTGTTATTTATTATTCTTAATCCCCTAGGTTTCAAGCTAGAGCAATGTTCTTCTTCTTCTTGAGCGTTGTGGGGTACATTGGTAGCAAAATTAGCAATGCAGATTGGTGAAAGAAACTTATGTAGTGTTAGTGTGTGATGGTTTGTGTATCAATGCATGTAGTTTCAAAGAGCGTTCATTTCTCTTCTTGTGATCTGCAATTAGTATATTCATCAGACACGTTCATGCTCTTCGACAGGTTTGAGAAAAGCAACAGAAGTCAAGAGAATCATCTAAAAGGGACACGTGGTTGTAACTCTAGAATAGGCAAATAGAGCGAGCAACAGTTATATCATATACTGGTTTATCTTTGCCGTTTTGTAGATTTCTCTATGTTGGTCACTTGGTTGCTTTGAAGCCATTTTAAAACAAAAAAAAAGAAAATTAATTATCAGAGCCAGGTTTCGATCCTGGGACCTGTGGGTTATGGGCCCACCACGCTTCCGCTGCGCCACTCTGATCTGTTGTTTGATTAGAATTTCTTGTTTTCAAAGCTTGTACCAGACAGATCGTTGATTTATAGAGTCCTGACCGAACACATCTTCTATCTCTGGTCAAGCCTCAGAAAATATCCGGTTCTGGTTTAATCACATAGCTGATGTAAAGATACATACTGCATGCAAGCTTACACTCTCCATCGTAGTTGTAATATTCTGGTAGATCGTTGTTCTCTCTTTTGTATTCAAAGTCTACGCAATAACGTCATTTTCTACCAATGAGCATCAGCATCAACGTACTTTGGAACAAGAACATTCGGTCGCTGAAGGGCTAACTGACTCAATAAGAAGAATAGGTTGGTCGTTTATTTATGGTTCGTAAATTGTTGTTGGTTTATAGATGACAGAAGAGAGGAAGAAATAACACACTTGTGATTGAGCGAGTAGTTTTGAGTGTAGGAAACAGAGTTGTTAGATTAAAGAGGAAACAAAGAAGTTGGCTAAAAACAGAGAGTAAAAGAGAAAACACACCAAACTAAACCGGAAACAATAACCGAGTACTTAACCAATCCGGATTTGGACATAGTTTCCTTGCTTTGTTCTTCTTCCATATTCTTTAGGTATGTTATAAAAGGCCTATACAACCGAAAGATAAATGTTTATATTTTCCTATACCGTTTTGTTTCTTCAAGTGTTTGCTAACATATTTGTTCAAACATACCTCTTAAATGGGATGTGGTGCTTCTGCGTCTGCGTTCGTTTCAGACAAAAGGGTTCACGAACCACTCTGGTCTGTAGGAAACAAGTATGCACCCAATCGTCAGTCCCAAGAAAACACCAGGTACAGCTCCTATTACAGCCGCTATCCAACTCAACACCTCTTCGTCTTCTTCCTCTGTCTACGTTGTTTCATATTGTTTATGCGATGATGGTGCATGAATATCTCTGCAATCCATCAAGAGAATGTCCAAAAAGTCCATTGTTATCCTCAAAGGAAGAGCAATTCTGCCTACAAAACTGAGTGCCTCCTGGTACTAAACCTTGAAGCTGGTTATAAGAGAAGTTCATGTAAGCAAGATACGAGAGACTTCCTAGCTCTTGTGGAATCTCTCCTGAAAGCTGGTTTTGAGAAACGTCAAGCGACTCGAGAGCGCTTAGGTTCCCCATAGATGAAGGTATGTGGCCAGTGAAAGCATTGTTTGATAAGTTCAGCACATGAAGCTCTTTCAATAAACCTATGCTCCTTGGGATCTTTCCTTCAAGTTTGTTTCTCGAAAAGTCGAGTGCTGTGTACTAGCTCCATCACAATACCTTTATTCATCAAAACCAATGAATCATCATATACCTTCTATTGAACTTGTCTTCATTAGTCTCAAGTGATGGACATATCACTCCACTTCACAAAGTAGTCTGATGGCAAAGCTCCATTGAAGTGGTTATGAGATATATGTCGATGATTTGCAACTTAGGGAATGAAGCTTGAAGTATCATCGGTCCATGGAATGCGTTGGAGCGTAGTACAAGAACTTTTAGGTTTTGGTAGAGAACTCAACCATGATGGAACCGTGTCGTTGATTATGTTGTTTTCCACGTTCAGAACTTCAAGATTAGAGGAATGGATTGAAGCTCTTGGAAGCTTCCCCGTAAGTTGGTTATAACCGACGTCAAGCGACCTCAAGTATTTAAATGTATACACTGGAAGACCTCCGCGCAGACGATTCTGACTAAGGTTTAGATCAGAAAGAGTTCGGTTGAGATTTATCAAGCAAGGAGGGATTACACCATCGAAGTTGTTGTTTGATAAATCAAGTGTCCTTAGAGAGGCAAATCGCAGATGAAAAACGGAATCTTGCCCGTCAAGTTGTTGTTGGAGACAAGCAATTGTAACAAAGAAAGCCCAGGTCCCATTGATGTTTCAAAGTTAACCAAAGTGTTGTTGGAAAGCTTCACGTACCACAAATATCATAGCATCCATAACCAGCCAGGAACTTGACCTTCAAGTTTGTTGTTGGAAAGGTCAAGATCGGTTAGAAGTTGTTTGGTTTTAAGGAGCTCTGGAAACTCTGTGATACCGCAGCCTGAAAAGAACAAAGATTGTATCGGTTGCATAGGAGGATACGAAACAGAACTCTTGTTTGTGAGTGAAACATAGTTGCCTGATAGATCCAATACATACAAGCTCTTGAAATATGATATGAAATCATTCAAGTCAACTGCAGTGGTGGTGTTCAAATGGGATAGGTGAAGATTTGAAAGCGCCTTGAGATGTGAGAAGGTACTAAAGTTAACTGGGCGGTCATGGATGTTGAGATTGGAAAGGTCAAGATGCTGAAGGTTGGTTAGTTTGGAAATGGAGGTGGGGACTGGACCTCTTAAGTTGTTATTGCCAAGGTCTAACTCTGCTAGCTTAGAGGATGAAGACATATTCCCAAAGTCAAGAGCGCCATTGAGTTGGTTTTTCTTGCAAACGAACTAATAGCAAGAAAGGAAGTGTAAAGAGAGAAGAAGGTGTGGTTCCAGTGAAAGCGTTGGAAGAGGCATCCAATAAGGACAAATTTGGATAGTGAAGTATATTACAACCAACGATCAATCAAGGCGTTCAACTGGTTTAAACTTCCCAAGGAAGAAGGAATTTGACCAACGAAATGGTTACTAGAAAGGAAGAGAAAGGTGAGCTGAGAAAGCTTTCCTATTGTAGATGGAATCTGACCAGAATAATTATTACTACCAAGGACGAGATGGGTAAGATGAGAAAGGTTTCCAATCCAAGATGGAAGCTGGCCCAAAAGTTGATTTTCATAAAGGTCAAGAGAGCTGATATGAGGAATGAATCTGACCGGAAAACCGATCCAGAGAGGTGAGTAGAGGAAGGTTTCCAAGTGAAGACATTATTTGACCACTGAAAGTATCATTAGATGAAAGGTCTATAGTGGTTAGAGAATGAAGATTTTGAAGGTTGATATTGGAATGGAGCCGGCCACGGAGGTAGCTGCAACTAAGGTCTAGCTTGATCACTTCACCGGACTCTGCGTTGCAAGTGATACCTTCCCAGGTACAACAGTCGTTGTTGCTCTCCCATGACTCCGTCTTTGGATGAGAGGTCGGTCTTATTAGTACCATTGATATAACAGTTATAAGGAGAGACAAAAACCTCAAGCTCGTTCTTCAACTTAACAAGCGCCTCCCTTTCCTCCAGACGACACAAATGCCTAATAGGAACCGCAAACACCTTCTCTTGATTATAAATGAATAAGAAAAGAACAGAAAGAGTAATAGGAATGGTACTCTTCGTTATGTTCCAATAGCCTTTCATTTTTTTCTTTCAGCAATAATTTAAGAGCCAAAAAAAGAAGAGGAAAGTGTGATGGTAACAAGCTTCCATGCCCCTCTCTTTATATACACAATAATAATAGACTGTATCTACTCCACAAATGAAAATTCACACTGCTTGACTCACACTATAACTAGTCTTTCTACCCAATTTTCTTCACGTCAATTGCGGAGAATCCAAAGTTTTGGTCCCCTTCTTTAATGACATGAAATTTCCAGTCTTATTTACTCTGGCCCTAGAGTAACGTTTACGGCTATTTTTACAGGTTTTCCAAAGGGCTTTTGGACTATTCCTGATTATACCAACAGTCTTTATCTCATGGTAAATAGTAAAATACTAAAGGAGATAACTACAAGTATCAAAGTTTTCAGGCGAACAAATATTCTTCCTCTTTATTTCTCGTGAATCAAAAAATGAGAACTCCATGCAAAACATGACCCAAAAAAAAATCAACTCTTACAAAACAATTTAGTTTCAACAATGAAATAAGATATGCCTTGAAACCAAAGATTCTGACAGGCATTGCAGAAAAGCTTACAAAAAAAGAAAAGAGGTCATATCATAAAGTACCTTCTTGAACTAAAATTCATCAGGCCGAGAATGTCAAGAAAAATCCAGATTTGGCTCGATCGTGTTCTTGCTTCTTCAATATATGGCAGTAGTTAATCTGTCTCATAACAAAAGATGGGTAGGTTTGGTGTTAATCATCTCCCTTTCATTCGATATCATATATAGAAAGGAGATAAGTGATAAGAATCAAACCTCCATACGGAAAAGACTAGTTGGTAACACGATTCCAGCACCAACTGATGTTCTACACGTCTCCAACAATTTTGGAACAGTTATGTTTCTAAACTCATTCTCTGACAGTTTTGCCATATTCCCTGCACAAGCAAACACATGTCCGTGCACTCCTCTCTCTCTTAACCATCTCAATGGCAAATCAAACGAGAGATCCGCAAATGCAGTTACAGCAGCATCTCCTCCAATGAAATCTCTTTCATCATCACCTTTCCTCTTTGGCTCGTTAGGACCAAGTCCTCTGGTCTTGAATCCCCATAGCGCAGATGGCCCACTTAAAGAGCATACAGGAGATGAATTGCCACCCAAGAAGAACCTCTCTGGGATAGATGAAGGGCGGGTTTGGTATCCACTTCCCCATGGGAATGTGACACCTCCAGAGACGCCAAAGTTTAGAGCAGTGTTGTAAAACCCGAGAGGAACAGCATACCGAAGATCAATATCCTGAGAAAACAAACGACAATGGATGCTAAAAAGTGTCAAAGGTCTGATAAGGAAGAACGATGAGGAGACAAACCTGCTTCAAAAAGCGTAGACTTCGGCTATCAGGAGCAAGACCACCAATCTGAGAAGTAGAACTGAACGCATATCCACTTGTTGGCCTCAAGTACGAGTCTCTCTGGTCATATTTAAAAGTATACTTCAATGCAGAGAGCAGACTATGTCCCAGTTGCCTCCTTATTGATTTCGAGGCAGATCTGGACGGGTCTATCAAGTTACGCCACGCGACAGTATAAACAAGCTCGTGATACTTGCTCGAGAGAAGCCCGAGAGAAAGTCCGAGCGATCGTTCTTTGTAAGAAGAAAACTGCAGCCAGTCTTGAGTGGAAAGGTAAAGACGGGAACTAAAAGGAGTAGGAAGTCCTTTGAACCTCGGCAAATACATCCCCAAGCCAACCTCAGCAGAGTTGTCACATCCATAAACTATAGACCCGTCCCAGATATCTCCATACCCAAAAATGTTCTTATACTTCAAAGATGCTTCAACACTTGACGATTTAGCCTACAAGAACATCAAACAAGATCGCACACAAGTATGAAAGAGCAATCACATTAACAGACAGCTTCAAGAATACAACAAGTCTAACTCTATAGAGGTGAACACCCAATAAAATCAGCTGAAGCATAGCAAGTGAACTGTTGCGAAATGTTCTTATACTTCAAAGCTTAATGATTTAGCCTACAAGAGCATCATCACAGTCATGTCTCAAATGTATCAAACAAGATCACACACAAGCATAAAAGAGCAATCTACACTAACATGCAGCTTCAAAAACACACAAAGTTCAACACTTTAGATGTGAACACTCAACAAAACCAACTCAACTGAAACTTGACAAGTGAATCTTTGCCCTTAGAGTCAAATACCTCAGCTCTAGTGTAAGCCCCAATCTGCCCAGTGAGAGGGCTTTTACTCTCCACAACTTCAATAATCACATTAGTAGTCCCAGGAAGCTCCGGAGGCCCCGAATCAAGCGTGACATTAACCGAATCGAAGATATCTAACGCTCGTAGATTCGAATTAGCAACCCTAGAAGCTTCCAGAAGCTCCTGCAACGTGTTGGCCTCTCTCACAGCATCAACTTCCGCCTCGATGATATGGTCCTTGGTCTTCGTGTTCCCCTTGACGATCACGTCGTGGACGCGTACTGGCACGGGAGCGGATCTCATGCGAAGGAAGAGAGATTCGGTTTTGGTCTTGGAGGTGGTGGATCGCGTTTTGAGAGATTGAGGGGTGGAGATTGTGTCGTCATCTTCGTCTTCTTCTTCTTCTTCTTCTTCTAAGTCGTCGTATTCGTCTTCTGATTCTACTTCGTCTTCGTTGTTTAGTTCTTCTAGTTCGGGTTCGGGTTCTCGGGTTGTGGGATTCGGGTCGAGGTTTTCCGTGGGGTTCGCCATGGGGGAGACAGAGGGAGAAAGCTGCTGAGAGTTTGACGACCAGAAGAAAGTCTTATGGAACCCTCTTAGGAGTTTAGAAGGTTTTGTCTCGGGTCAATTTATAAAGCATGAGGTTGTTGAAACGATGTCGCTGAGGACATAATAAGCAAAAATAATTATAGATTTGCTTAGTTGAAACAGAGAAAGGAAAAAATGCTTAACGCAGTTTGCTGATGGTCTCATATTGGTAATCACCTTGCTTAGGAAATGTTCTAAAAATCTCTAGGCAGTAGTTAGGGATTTTATAGACGATTATTGATTTATTGGTTCGGCGGCTGTTTAGACCGATTTTTTGAATGCATAATTCGATTTTTGAAAAAATGTTTTACTCATACCCAATTTGCTGCTTAGACAAGTATCTAGACCAATTTTTGCAACACTGTGCATAGGTATAAACTTATAAAACCCACAAAAAGACTTATGTCTAGAAAGAAATAGCATCCCACTTGAATTTTTCCTCAATAGGTATACTCAGCATGTTTCTCATCATACATCTGAAAAGCATTAGATTATTGGTTAGCCATTATCTTTTATATAGGGCAAAGAGGTGTTAAAGCAGGGGAAGAGCAGAAACCAGAGATGAAGCCAAATCTTGGAAGGTTCTCAACACTTATGGATGATGAGAGTCTGAGGTGGAACATCAAAGGAACTATCCAACTCGAACACTAATGTCTACAGAATCAGGCGAACATGATGGTTAATCTGTTTAAACCAATTGTGTGCTCCCAAAGAAACCTTTTGATGAGATTAATAACTTGTTCACAATGCCATTGAACTTTCAAAATAACATCATAACATTTTGTTCCTTTGTCCATGCTAAACTGCTAAAAGCTTTGCATAATATAAGTAAGCCAAGAAAAATAAAAGACCCATTGCAAGTAGATATTATTACATAAGCACAACCAACTCAGAGCGAATATATTACGGTGTAACAGAACTTAAGTAGATGATTATCTGTCTCTTCCTCTTTGATGAGTTCTAGCCGAAAAGACTCACCAGCTTTCACTCCGTTATCTTCACAAAACTTTATCCACTCTTTTCCTAATCTCATTCTTCCATATTCATCCTCAGGTTTAAGACTCGTTGAACTTCGTACACCGTATCTATCAACAAGGGTTATCTTCCTTACGCTCTTGATTCCATTCGCCTTCACAAACGGCACCGGTAGACACTGCCATATACACTTAAAAACATTAACACAACTCTGATACAATGCTGAAATAATTTAATGAAAATTTACCATTTTATAGCTCTTGAGATTGTATGGTGTGAGAGTTAGTGTCAAGAATCTGTCTTGGCTTGTTGGAGATGAAGAAACTCGGAGACAATCTCGGTTGTAGTACCCGGACGCACGCAACTGGAGAACAGGTTTTGTCCCTGTTTTCACAAGTTTGAAAGTCAATACATCGTTGACTCTTTTCCCGTTAGCTTGACAGAAACTTCTCCAGCCGTTTCTGATGTAAACATAACCACTTGTTTTGTAGTATTTCAGAAACAATGTCCATGGTTTCCCTTCTTCATTCAAGAGAATGATCTCGCCTTTACGATTCACCAAACCATTAGACCTTGAAAAGTGTACTGGAAGAAACTGCAGAGTTTTTAAAAGAGTAGTAGTTTTATGATTTTGGTTTTAAGGAGATGTTAAATCAAAATGCAGAATCATTCTTTCATTACTCACCAGTGAATCTTTTCTTAGGTTTGACTCTGTGACACGAGCTGCAAAGCAAGAGTTGTCTGATGAAGATCTTGCTTTTCTCGTGTGTTGTTGTTGTTGATGATACTTCTCTGAATCTGAATCTGTTTCAACTTTGAAATTATGTGAATCTAAACAGAATCTTGAGCTTGTACCAGAAGATATCAGAATGACATCATCATCACCATCACCATCATTATTGTATTGAATATCACAGAAACTAGGACCAAAATGTGTGACATGGAACAACAAATCTCCATCATGTCTGAAAATGACTATGTCTCCCACTCGGAGATCATGACTGGTGGCAAACTCTTCCCAGCCATGGGTGAGTCTCCGACCGTCCATATTCACTTCCCATGTTAAATCAGAAGCGTCTGATCTCAGCTTTACCACTGCATTAGAACTACCCTTGTTGGCTGCTCCCTTTATATGCTTTGAGTAGAATGCTATGGGAATGTTCTGCAGCAAAAGAAACCAATAGAAATATTTAAAAAAAAAACATTCATGTATATCCAGAGACACAGAAAGAGAGAAGAGGGTTAACAATGTGGTTGTGGAATCCAGGAAGAAGAGGCTGGAAGAAGTGTGGTTTAATCGGTGAAGAAGCTGAACCATTTGCCATTGCTGAAGAGGTTTTTTTAAAAAAGCTTTGGTGTGGTTTCTTTTTTAAGTTAAGGTATGTTTTTAGAATTTAAAGCCACGCCATTCTTGGTATGTCAAAAGACATGTAGCTGACTCTCGTATAGGTTAGGAGGCTGTAATTTGTTTTCATTAATGAAGAGTTGTTTTTATCTTTTCTATAAAGCTTTGATGTCATTTCGTATTCTCCACTTTTGCTCTGTTTTGGGCTTTGTTCCAATGCCAAAAGTTGTTTCACTCACTCAGACTACGACTTACTACATTATAAATACTCTCAAGCATTCTTTTTAAAAAAAACATAGTGAAGAAAGAATATAAATCAATTTTCTCCGACAAAGAAAGAATGGTGCCGTATATAACACGGCAAAGATTGTCATCCATAGCTGCAACTCTTCTTCCCTTGCCATCATGGAGAAGAATTTGAACAAGATGCTGAAGATAAATTATTCTATAGTGCTTATATGCATAAATGCTGACATTAATCATGTTCTATAACTATGTCTAGATTGTAGCTCTTTCTTTGAATGGATATATATGTGTGAGATATTCATGTAATACTTCTCATCATATGAAAAGAATGATATTACTGGTGAGATAATAGATTTTTTTTTTTGACACAAGAGGGTTTAAAATCAGAAACATAGGTGAAGCCAAATCTTGTTGGAAGTTTCTCAACACTTAAGGCTCATGAGGCCAGAGGAAACATCAAACAAACCAGCTAACTTGTTGTACAACACAATTTGAACTTTTAGCGAACAACAAGGTATTTCAAGCTGCTAAAGCTTTGAATGTTACAAGCTAGCCAAAACAATACATTTGAAAGTAGATATTACATGAGCAAAGGAACTCAGACTTTGGAGCAGAACTTAAGTAAATGAGTATTTGTGTTGTTTTTTTCCTTGATGAGTTCCAGCATAAAGGACTCACCAGTCTTCACTTTATTAACTTTACAAAACTCTTTCCACTCTTTTCCCAATCTCAGTCTTCCACATCTGCTTAAGACTTGTCACCTTTTTGTTACCGAATCGATCCACAAGAGTTATCTTCATCGCATTCTTTATATCATTCGCCTTCACACTCGGTGGTTATGGTTCTTGGTGACGCGCCTCTTCTGTGACGTTAGTCTCACTCGGTGGTTCTTGGCAACCCACCGCATCTGTGACATTAGTCTCCTCCAGTGTTTCTTGGCAACCCATCGTATCTGTGACGTTAGTCTCCTCTGGTGTGTCTTGGCAAACCATCATTTTTGTGACGTTAGTCCTCCGGTGTTTCTTGGTGTTCGTTTACGTAGTAACTCATGGCGAATCAAGAGAGAAGGTTGTTTGCGTTGTTGTAGCTTTTCTTTAGTTGGAGAATAGAGAGAAATGTTAATAAAGAAAAAAATGATTTCCGTTAACAATTTTCTTTTTCTTTTACTTCCACTACACACATGAGTATAAGTCTTTTTTTTAAGGAAAATATAACCAAGAAAAAAAAGAAGAAGAAAATAGAGAGAAACCTTCGTTATATCATCGCCGGAGACACCATACTTGCTCTCAAACTTCTTCTTTATTTGCACAAACAGTGCACAAATAGATTTGACTCAACAGCCTTCTCTTCGTTTGTTTACAACAATTTCCATGTTAAAACAAGAGATAAGTAATACCGTATTCCCGCTTTTTGCTAGCTCACACCACACAATCTCAAGAGTTCTACTCTAGTAAGCAAGTTAAGTTTGAGATCACAATGGAAGCGGGTCACCAAGAACCAGAACCACCAACTGAGGGTAACGTCAGACTGCAACGACTGAGATCACAGAGGAGACGCATTACCAAGAACCAGAACCACCAAACGAGAGTAATGTTACAGGTGTGGCGCTTCAGCAAGAGCCACCGACGGTGACGACTGCGCAAAGGGTTGATGATGCCCCAGGGCTTGGTAGGTGTTACAATAGGTTTGAGAGAAGAGTGCATCGAGAGGAAAAGAATTACAACTGGAAGGTCACGGGCCCAGTCGTTTCCGGTGTCATCTATCTTTTTGTGTTAGGTCTTCTTTTCTTGTGTAAACAGAAGCTGAAGATGCACTATAAGAAGAAGAAAATTGTTAACGGAAATCTTTTTTTTTTCTTTATTAACATCTCTTTCTATTCTCCGACTAAAGAAAATATACAAAAACGAAAACAACCTTTTCTCTCAATTCGCCATGAGTTACTACGTAAACAAACACCAAGAAACACCAGAGGACACTAACGTCACAGAGACGATGGGTTGCCAAGACACACCGGAGGAGACTAACGTCACAGATACGATGTTTGGCAAGAAACACTGGATGAGACTAAAATCAAACTCTAGTTATGTACATTCTCAACAACTGTACCGGACTAAAATTGCTGTCCGGGATGATTCTTCCGTTTTCGTCAAGAACGCGATAACATGGAACTCTTCGAGGAGACGATTCAGGGATGAATTTCATCTCAGATGTGTAACCGAGTTTGCCTTCCGGAAAATCCAGTTCCTAGTGTTATCAAATACGGTTAAGATAATTAAAACTTGTAAATAATAAAAACTACTGAGGCAATATAAAAACTTTGATAAGAACAAGGGTCATAGTGGAAAATAGTTTCCACACTGTGAGTGTGAGACTTATTTGAGTGATAGATATTATAACCAAAATGATCAAGAGTGTGAACCCACATAGTACTAAACTATTCAACTGTTCTTGAGAACCAATTATATCCTTGATAAACTGATTTTTACAAAACTTTTTGATACTAAGAAGTAAGAAATATAAAGTTTCAGTTACTGTAAAGTATAATAGAAAGTAATATATTATTGTGTTGTGTTTGATATGAGAATAAAAAATGCATATATATAGTGGTAACATTAACACTAAATAATGTTATAACTTTCCTAAACACTAAATAATGTTATAACTTTCCTAAACACTTAATGTAAATATGCTAAGAATATTTTCAGATTAACTTGCACTTCAAGTCTTTTTTGAGAGTCTTCATGGGTTTCATGGACTTCATAATCTTGGTCCGTGAGATATACATCTTCCGGCCCAACATATATATCTCTAATAACATATATATCTCTAATAGTTACAGTGGAAACTATTTTCACCTAGAATTTGTTTTAATATAATTTTTATTTTATATGTAATGAATCAAGAACTCAACCGGATTACTCACATTTAAAACGAAAACTATCTACTGAATCCAAAGAAAACTAACAAGTCTCCTTAGTTATATCCTTTGTCTGTATATAACTAATTACTAGGTGATTTTCCCGTGCTCATGCACGGGTATAAATATTTATTAAATAAATATACTATAATAATTGATTACTATTTACTTTTAATTTTCAATTAATTTAAAATTTGCATACATGATTTATATTAATAATATTATTTTACTTTAATTAGACATATTATTTTAGAAATATTATATCTAGTCAATTTTATTATTTTATAGTCGATTTTACTGTTATTATTTGGGTATATTATATTACATTCTTTATCTGAATTCAACTATAATATTTTTTATTTTAAAAATATTAAATTTTGTTTAATTCTATTATTTACTTTTAGGTTGTTTGCTGTCTCAGATGTCAATATATTTTAAAAAAGTTATTTATAACTTAAGATATATTATGCCTATAATGAAATATAAAATAATTTTGATTTCAAATTACATCAGTCGATCTAAAGATAATATTTGAAGTCTCATGCATATATATAAATTTCACAAAATAAATCAAATTAAATTAATATTATTTATCATTTAAATGTGCCCGTATTTTCATAATATTTATCAAGTTATATGTTTCTTTAAAATATAGTAGAAAATAAAGCAATAATCAATAGGAAGTTACATACTTAAGTAACTCATATATTTTTGGAGATTCATGAACACATATCAATATTTACAATAATTAAAATATTTTATAAATTCTAAATAATTTTATATCTTAGATTTATTGAATGATAAACTGAAATTATTTTAAATTATCTTTAAAATGAGAATTCGGATTTGCTTTGGTATTTTTATTATGGTTATATTAAGTTACACAAACATAAAATTTTAATAAAATTTAAAAATTATGAAACATATAATTTAAATAATGATAGATTATAACATATCTATGTCATTAAAGTATATAGTGGTATGATATTTTAAAATATTTTGTAATTATTTGATTAAAAGATGTTTATTGTTAAAAAATATTATAATTTCTCTTAAAAATAAGCAGTAAAAATTGTGGTTGTATTTGAGAAGTCATATTATATAAGTAAAATTTAATTTATAAATATTTTTTTTTCTTTAGTTGAAAGATACTATAGTCAACTAAATATATGAAAATAAATAAAATATTCAATAATTTTAATTAAAAACTATTTTAGTTAATAAAAACATATACTTGTTTATGTTACTTAAAATTATGTTTAAAAGTAATTTTTTTTTTTTTCAAATATCAAAATTATATGTGTGAATTTTTTGCTATGAAATCACATTATATAAAAAATATATATTTTCATATAAGAAAATACAGATATAAAGAAAGGGAAATTGCTAAAACTATGATACCATATTTCACTTTTACATTAACCAACTTTACACTCAACATTTTGATAATCAAAAGACTATAATACCCTGATTATTCAAACATAAACCTGATCTTCCTCTCTTTTGTTTCTTCATCGCCGACTAAATTTTGACGGCGAGACTCAACGACTCCAGCGAAACTAGCACATTAAAGACGACGGAGAGAAAGACGCAGCCACAAAAGCAGCTTTTGACGCCACTTTCGATCAACCTACGCCTTTAATTGAACCTGCTCTGTCGTCCACCGTACCGGAGTCTTCATCAGAATCCGACAGCGATTCGGATGATGAATCTGATTACCTATTGAGGAAACTAATCGGTCCTGTGGATCCGAGTAAGTCCACTGCTTCCGGTGCTGGGAGAGGTGGAGGAACGGCTTGTGCACCGCCAACGTTTATAGTTGTGACGAAGGACTTTGATGGAAGGAGAGTTCCTAATGGTGGAGCTTTGATTAGGGTAAGTGTATCCTGGTGTGGGTGTTGGTGGTACAGATCAAGAGGGTGTGGTGAAAGATGTTGGAGATGGCATTGCCTCGGCGGCGATTCTCATCGATCAGAGCAGTGTCTCCAATTCGCAAGTAAGTTTCGATTTTGGGTTTAGGTCTCTGCTTAAGAGTAATAACACAGTCCCCTGAAATTGATTGGTGCTCTTAATGTCGTGATTGTGCTGTAGCGGTTTTGCTTACCCTAAGAATCTGGTATTATTACTCCGCGCAGGGATGTACGTGGCGAATCGGGCTTCAGACAAGATCACACAACTCACTGACAATGTCTACGTCTGCCGTTCTGGTTCGGTAATGTCTCGTTTCTTTATGTGAAAAGAAAAATTCTTTTTGCTTGCTAAAGACTTTACTCAATTGGGTTTTACTGATTTCCACATGCTCTTATTGAAAGTCCATTGCTTTCTAGGTTTTCTTGCTCTGCTCTCTTTCACTGACTACCGCAAGCTCTTGTTGTTTCTGTTGCAGGCTGCTGGTTCTCAGGTTGTCTCGGATTGTGTCTGCTACTTCCTTCACCAGCACACGTGAGTGTTTCGTTCGTTCCTTGATTCGACACAATTAAATCACTTGGTATTTTATGTTGTCACATGTACCGGGAGATAAGATCAATCGTTTGCTTATGGTTTGTCAGAATCCAGCTCGGACAGCCTGCGACTGTAAAGGTCTCTGCAAACCTTATCAGGATGCTCGCATATAATAACAAGGTATACTAGTTTGCTTTAAAGCTAGATGTTTCTTCAGTGGAGATATGTGGGTGTTGCTTTTTAGAGAACGTGCTCTACAGAATCACTGATAACTATTGTTTGGAATTGTGTTTTTAGGAAACATGGTAACTTACGTTTCATTGTTATATGGCTTTGGGGAAATAGAGAATTAGAGATTGATGTCAAATGTCCTAGCTAGCTTTCTAGTATTTGAAGAATGAATACTGTAATAATTTTTCTTTAGTCTGACGAATAAATATATTTAAGTGGAAATGTAGAAAAATTTTGTTCCAAATGCTACGATCTCAGGTATTGCATCAACTCATATCTATGTTCTTTAACTCTATTTATGGCTATTACTTGTTTTGATTAAAAAGAAAATATAATGGGGAAGGTATCACCAAAGGATTCAGATATAAAAATCTCAACAAGGAAGAAGAAGCTGAAGACTTCGAATAACAAATACTTAAAGTCTGGGGCTCTTGTTCAGCTTCGGCTAATACTAAGCCTGCTAGGAACAATATCATTGCTTAAGATGTTAATTCTCCAAGGAGTCCTTTGGTTTCTTCCCCTGTTAACGTTGCTAAGAGGAGTAGTCTTGTGAACCGATGAAGTTTGATGGTTTACAGGTGGAGAGTAAGAAGAGTCCTTTAATGTTATCATCATCATCTCCTAAGGGTCTTGTGAGGCAAAACTCGTTGTTGAGGACGCCGAAGACGCCTCAAGCTGAGATTTGTGACTCTGAGTCTCAGCTTGAGTCTCTTCCCATGGATTTATTGGTAACTGATTTTGTGTTTTACTTATTTGAATGTTTAAATTAAACTATATAAAACAGACAATAAGTGTTTGCCTTTTTACCTTTGTTGACTGATATAAGGGTTCTTCTTTAATCTACTGGTGATGATCACTTGGTATAGTTGCACAAACATAGATTATTATGGTGACATTCGTCAATCTACTGGTGTTTTTAATATCTATAGAGCTTATTTCTGAAGTGTATATTTTACAGGTGCTGGAACTTGGAATGACTTCCTCACAGCAGATGATATGAGCGCAATACTTGCTGTGAAGTTAAGAAAAAGACTTGGGTTTGGAATGTGGACGAAGTTACATCTGACAGGAATGCCGAATGCATGTTGAAGGCAAGGTAAATAAGCTCTTTCCAAAATGGTTTCTGGCTTTTTTTTATTCCTCTGTTTTTTTTCTTGTTGTTTGCAAAATTACAGTATTTTCTTCTTTTTCATGGTTGATTCTACATCCCTTGAAGCACCTTAAAAACTTTACAACTTTCTTATTCACAAGTTCATGATGAGGAAGAGGACCATGAAAATGAATCCGAAGGATCATACAGTGAGAGTGAAGCCTCGCTGGACCATCATGGCAATAACATAAGTCCTGATGACCTCAAAGCAAGGTCCTCTATTAAGGTTCAGTAACTAATCTATTCTAGACTTTGATGATACAATTGCTCTTCACTCCATATTTACTTGGCCAGTGTGTTTTTCATATTGCAGAGAAGTGATACTTTAAGCTCTGAATCCAAATCACCAAAAGGAAGTATGAAGCCTCAAGTCACTAAGAAGCTTTCATCTCGCTCTAACTGGTCTTCACTACCACGGCATGATGATTCAAAAAAGGATGATAGCATCCTGGTTAAAGGATTCTCTTCTTTTGTCTCCTCTCTTGTGCTGTCAAGACCAAGGATTCTCTCTACGAAGTGAGCAACAAAACCATCACAAAAGCATATGGGCTTCTTAATGGTTCCAGCAGAGGAACAGAAGAAAGTGTATAAACTAAATTGTAAAGTCTTATAAACTAATTTAAGGGATTTATAAACCATTATAATTTTTTTTTCATTATTAAATCTTTATTATATGATTTATAAACTCTCATAGATTAACTCTTACAAATGGCTTCATAAACCTTATAAAAATTTAACAAACCCTTATAGAACCTTTATGAATCTTAATGTACACTTACAAAGACTTTAAATAATTTTTATAATTTATAAAGCCTTATATATAAACTAATAATAATTTATAAATGGTTTTATAAGTATTTATAAAGGTCTATAAACCATTATAAATGATTTAGAAACCATTATAAATAATTTATAAGCCATTATATATAATTCATAAACTAGTTACAAATGATTTTATTAACCCTTATAAATGATTTATAAAATCTTATAATGGTTTATAAATTCTGAAAATGGTATATAAACCTTTATAATAAATATACTAGATCTTATAAATGGTTTATAAACTTTTATGAAAGATTTGTAAGCCTTTGTGAATCATTTATAAACGATTTATAAATGACACATATATTCGTGATGCATTTGATTTTTTTAAATAGTTTTGTAAATTCATATAAATTGTTTTATAAACCCTTATAAAACTCTTATATAAATTTTTTTAATATATTTATAAGCTCTTAAAGATAAAGCTTTGAATAATATTGATCTATATGATTTTTGACTAATATCTGCTCGACTTCGGAGGGATAAAATAGTATTTTGCATACTAAAATTTTAAGGGTAAAGATGATTAATGTAAAAATGAAATAGTATATCATGAATGTGTTAATTTTAGCAATTTTCCATCTATAAACCATTATAAATGATTTAGAAACCATTATAAATGATTTAGAAATTATAAATAATTTATAAACCCTTATAAATGATTTATAAATTCTGATAATATTTTATAAGCCTTTATAAAATGTTTTAAGACTTTATAATTGAATTATCTTTAGAATTTCTACAAATCCTTATAAATAATTTTATAAACCCTTATAAATAATTTTATATATTCTTATATATGATTTATTGATTATGATAAAAAAGTTTCTATATATTCTTATAAACTTTTTATAAAACAGATTTAAAAGGGCTTATAAATGATACAAACCCTTTTAAATTCTTAAAAATGAAATACCAAGTTTTTGCACATTTATAAAATTTTATGAATTGATTTATAAGGGTTTATAAATTTATTTATTAAAATTTATAAATTGATTTATAAGGATTTATAAATGAATTTTATAATGGTTTATAAATGGATTTTAGTTGAAAGTAAGTGGCTACGATCATCTCCTCTTCCTCCCACTCATGAAACCTTTTTAGCTCAACACACTCGAGCGTTGATAAGAAGCACTTAGGCACATTCGTGAGTTCAAATGCATCCCTCATCTCCCTTGAATAAACAACCTCCTGGAAACACACAAAAAGAAACACAAAGGCTGAGTTATTAATAACAAACGTAGACAAAACCCACATGGTTAATTGAGAGTTGTTCTTACCAAGATTAGGTGTTTCAGATTTGGGCAATATTCAACATGGTTAATCTTTATAAATTGTTTTTATAAATATTTATAAATTATTTACATATCCTTATAAACCCTTATAAATTATCATACAAACTATTATTTAGGTGTCATTATAAGCTTTTCCTTGTTACGACATCCTTCAAGATACCGGCTCTGCATAAAAGAAAAAAAAACATTATTTATAAGCTTTCATAATTTTCTTATAAACATTTATAAATGGTTTATAGATTTAATAACTTGTTTTATAAGCCTTTATAAATGGTATAGACTTACAAATAATTTTACATATCTTTATAAAATGCTTTATAAACCTTTATAAAGGTATATAATCTTTATAAATTGTTCTTATAAACATTTATAAATTATCTACATACCTTTATAAACCGTTATAAATTATCATACAAACGATTATAAATTGTTTTATAAACCTTTCTAAATAGTTATAGATTCTTTTAAATGATCTAGGACCTTTTAATTGTTCTCTAAACCTATTATAACTTGTATACATACCCCCTATAAACTGAATATAAAATTATAGCTATATAAATTAATTTTATAAATGGTTTATAAACCTTTGATTCCTCTGTTTCTTGTACTTTACGCTTCTTTTCTTCTTTGTAGCTTTTTCTCTGCTACTCTTCTTTGTTCTTCTTTTTCTATTCTCTTACTGTTATTTCTTGTTTATGATTTAATCAAGAATACAGTAAATTCATTGATTAGTCTGGTCAACAGCAAAAGAAACATATAGAAGAAGAAGAAAGAGGCATTGGTCCAACACGTAAAGAGTATCAATACAAGAATCTCTCTTTTCTCATTTGATGACACAGAACCGAACTTGACCTTCTGGTAATAGAACAAGAACCTAGTGATGGTAACGTTATCAAACTTCCTCAACACCATCAGCTTCAAGAATGTTGCCACCAAAGCAGGACTTAGAACAAGAACCTCATCGAACCACCATGTTGTCCGAGAAGCTGTTCTTGAAACTCTCTGTGCTTTTACTGTCACAAGAAAACCGAAACAAGCTGCTATCCGGCGAAGGCGAGCAAGCAGCACTAGAGGGACTCGCTTCAATGGCTAAACATAGTTTTTCCACAAGCGCATCCATCAACTTAACGGTTAAAGACTCAGCGTCAGAGGATGTATCAAGTTCTTGACACTGTTTCAAACCAAGAAGAACCTCTGGCCAAGACCAATATCTAATCTCCTCCATACACTTCTCTGTTTGTAACAAGACTTTAGTGACTTCCATGAACTTAGCAGCACAATGCAAGAAGACTACATTTTAAGGCATCACAGTCCATTCACAGTTGTTGTAGCAGAATCTTGATAAAAGCTCAAAACTTTCAGCTCCACCAGGGAAGTCATTACCACTGGAACAAGTAGACTTCTCAAGCAGTTTCCTCAATGTTCCAGAATACTTTCATATGATTTGCTGAAATCAATAAACAAACTCACAAGTCATTAAGTGAATCTTGAAAGTCCCACATGAAAAAAGGTAGAAACGACCAACGACGTTGTTCATAGAAACGCATGTCAGAAATGCAACACCTCGATTAATCTTCTTCTTGAGATTCTTGTACATGTTCTGTTTGCCTTTTCATATTAAAATAGAAACAAATGAGCAAACAAAGCTTAATCAAGGACACGAGAGGAGTAAAATGACACTAACTCTTTGATAAAGGCGTCTCCTTTCTCGCAGATATCAACAATCTTAGCTTTCAGCTTGCATTCAGCCAAAACAACCTGCAACGCCTCTGCAGAATTCAAAACCCAGAAGCAATGAACAAAACAGATCTGTGAAGAGAAATCAATAGAGCTATTACAAAAAAAAATCAAATCCATGAAGGAAGAAGCTCAAACAGATCCACCTTCCTGACTTTTATGATCGTTGATTGGGAATAGAGAAGGAAGCCAGAAATTGATCGTCCACAAAGCGAAGAGAGAGACAGGGAAATGGACACGTAAGGAGTTTTTAGCAATTCTACAACTCCTGGTTAAAGAAGACCGGTTATCTTTTTTTTTCACCATTTTTAATTGATTTTTTTTGAAGAACCCCTTCTAATAACCTCCCGATGGGGATGGTCTAGGCTTCTCAAGAACCTTAAACCCCTGGGAAACCACACTCTCGCAGAATCCCCAGGAATCGAGGCAGTAGATCAAACGCAATCTCTGAAGCTGGAGAGTGTGGGGCTTGCAGGCTAATTGAGCGGAGAAGGACTCCAAGCAGAGCTAGTACGCGCGGAAGAGGTATTCAGCGGGTGAGGAGTCGTGGGGTTGGGGATTCGAGAGGCGTTGGGGAAGAGGGAGATTGATTCACTGCAAACCCTAACCATGGAAGTTTCCTGAGTGAGAGAAGGCGGATAGTGGAGAGAAAATCAATAGAAGAGAAGTTAGGAGATGGATAGTTTTGTCATTTGGTCATTAATGAATAAGGTATTAATGAAAATGTCCCTTGAATTGGGGTAAACTTGAATTGTGGTACAGCAAAAATGGTATTTCTGCAATTGTCCCATAAAGAAACTATTTTATTAATTAAAATGTACATTTTATGTTATTTAAAATATTTTTAATGGATGTTACTATTTTGTTAATTTTCCCTTTTAATGAAATCATATTATATAAACATATATTTTCGTTTTTAATTTTTCCTTTTAAATTTTATAGATGTTTTTTCTATTATAAATTTAGTTGGAAATTTTTAAAAAGGAAACTAAATACAAAATTAATAATACTATTTTACTATTTTGATAGTATATATACTATTTTGTGAACTTTCCTTTTTAATGAAATCATATTATATAAACATATATTTTCGTTTTTAAATTTAAAATTTTTTTTCTTTTTTATTATAAAAGTTATTTGGAATGTTTTAAAAAAGAAACTAAACATAAAATTAATAATATTATTTAAATATACTATTTAAATATATTCATCAAGGGTATCATAGTAATCAACCGGTGTAAGAGTCAACGTGAACGCGCCACATAGGAAAGTGACTTCTCAAATAATATTATAGAGATATCCTTGATAAATTGATTTGTACAACTGAAATAATCGTCCACTGTTGTTTTTCAGGACCTAGATCCAAAGTTTTTAATCATGTATAATCAACATGAAACCTAGCTAGTATAAATATTTGAACGTAATATACATACCTGATGAACATCTTCCTCATCACTTTGTTGAACCAAATCAGACCGTCTCTCCACTGCGGTAGACTCGTAACGTAGCCTCCTGAGGGATTCCAAAAACATTGTCGAAGATAACTGAGAGTTTGTAAAAGTGGGACGACGAGAGTAACTGCGTTTGGTGAGAATCTCCTACAAACTCAGATTCTGTCTCAAATCTTGTTGAAATTTTTTCAATACTTAAGGATCATGGGTCCAGAGGAAACATCAAGCAAACCAAGTAACTCTATATTGGTATTATATCCTATCAGCTGAACGTGATGATCTATACTCAAACCAAACTGTGTGCTCAAAAGAGGATATCGAAGAGATCAGCAAATTGTTGAAACTTTTAGGGAACAACAAGGTAATCTGATTACTTTAAGATGCTAAATCTTTGAATGTTACAAGCTAGCCAAAACAATACATTAAAGTAGATATGACAGAAGCAAAAGAACTCAAGAGAGAGTCTCAGACTTTATAGTAGAACTTAAGTAGATGAGTTTATGTGTCTTTTTCTTCCTTGATCAGTTCCAGCATAAAGGACTCACCAGTCTTCACGTTATTAACTTCACAAAACTCTTTCCACTCTTTTCCCAATCTCAGTCTTCCACATTTTTTATACGGCTTAAGGCTTGTCACCTTTTTGTTACCGTATCGATCCACAAGAGTTATCTTCATCGCATTCTTTATACCATTCGCCTTCACAAATTTCATTGGTAGACGCTGCCATAAAAGACATAAAACAATTACAAACTCTTGACAAAAAAAAATGTTGAAAAAAAAAACTTACTTTGCTTACCAGAATAGAACTCTTGAGATTATATGGTGTGAGAGTTAGTGTCACGAATCTGCATGGTCTTATTATAGATGAAGAACAAAACTGGAGAACAGGTGTTGTACCGTTTCTCACTAGCTTGAAGGTTAATAAATCGTTGGCTTGTCTTTTATTTTCATAACAGAAACGTTTCCAACCGCTTCTGATGCAAACGCGGCCGCTTGCTTTGTGATGACGCATGATTAGTCTCCATTGCTTCCCTTCTTCATTCAGTAGAATGATCTCACAGTCACGGTTCGTTAGACCATTTGACCTTGCAAAATCTATTGGAAGATGCTGCAAAAATCTTACAGAGAGTATTAATTATGATTGTAGATTATAACTATATTCAAAGTTTAAATGCAGAAGTAAACTTTATGATTTGGTTCTAAGGATATGTTATATCAACTGCAGAGTCATTCTTTCACCACTCACCAGTGTATCATTTCTTAGATTTGACTCTGTGACACGAGCTGCAAAGCAAGAGTTGTCTGATGAAGATCTTGCTTCTCTTTTGTGTTGTTGTTGATGATACTTTTCTGAATCTGTTTCAACTTTGAAATTATGTGAATCTAAACAGAATCTTGAGCTTGTACCAGAAGATATCAGAATGACATCACCATCACCATCACCATCACCATCACCATCACCATCATTATTGTATTGAATATCACAGCAACTAGGACCAAAAGGTGTGACATGGAACAACAAATCTCCATCATGTCTGAAAATGACTATGTCTCCCACTCGGAGATCATGACTGGTTGCGAATTTTTCCCAGCCATGGGTGAGTCTCCGACCGTCCATATTCACTTCCCATGTTAAATCAGAAGCGTCTGATCCCAGCTTTACCACTGCATTAGAATTACCCTTGTTGGCTGCTCCCTTTATATGCTTTGAGTAGAATGATATGGGAATGTTCTGCAACAAAAGAAACCAATAGAAATATTTTTTTTTTTTTTTTTTAAAAACTATTCAAGTATATCAAGAGACACAGAGAGTGAAGAGGGTTAACAATGTGGTTGTGGAATCCGGGAAGAAGAGGCTGGAAGAAGTGTGGTTTGATCGGTGAGGAAGCTGAACCATAAGCCATTGATGAATATACTTTTTTTTTAAAGCTTTGGAGTCGTTTTTTTCTCTAGTTAAGGTATGTTTTAGAATTTAAAGCCACGCAGGCCATTTTTTGTAGCTGACTCTCGTGTTGTAGGTGAGGAAGCTATAACATTTTTTCATTAACGAAGAGTTACATTATTTTTTTCATTAATGAAGAGTTGTTTTTTTATGTTTTCTATAAAGCTTTTTCTCCAATTTTGCTCTGTTTTGGTGCTTTGTTCCATTGCCGAAAGTTATTTCACTCACTCAGACTACGACTTACATTATAAACACTCTCAAGCATTCTTTTAAAAAAAAACATAGTGAAGAAAGAATATAAATCAATTTTCTCCGACCAAAGTTAGACATTGCCACAAAAGAAAGAATGGTGCCATATATAACACGGCAAAGATTGTCATCCAAAGCTGCAACTCTTCTTCGCTTGCCCTCATCGAGAAGAATTTAAACAAGATGCTGAAGATAAGTTATTCTATAGTGCTTATATGCATAGATGCTGATAGTTTGACGACAGAAGAAGTCTTTTGGAACTCTCTTAGTAGTTTAGAAGGTTTTGTCTCGGGTCCAGTTATAAAGCCTGAGGTTGTTTAAACGATGTCTTTGAGGACATAATTAGCAAAAAAATTTATAGATTAGTTTAGTTGAACAGAGAAAGGAAAAATGCTTAACGCAGTTTGCTGATGTGGTAATCACCTTGCATAGGAAAAATGTTCTAAAAATATCTAGGCGATAGTTAGGGATTTTATAAATGATTATTGGTTAGGCAGGCGACCTACACCGATTTTTTGAATGCCTAAATCGATTTTTGAAAAAAACGTTTTACTCATACCTGATTTGCTGCTTAGGCAAGCATCTAGATAGATTTTTACAATACTGTGCATAGGTATAAACTTATAAAACCCACAAAAAGAATTATGTTTAGAAATAGCATCCCACTTGAATCTTACCTCACTAGGTATTCTCAGCATGTTTCTCATCATACATCTGAAAAACATTAGATTATTGGTTAGCCATTAGCTTTTATATAAGGCCACGAGGTGTTAAAAGCAGGGGAAGAGCAGAAAACAGAGATGAATCCAAATATTGGAAGGTTCTCAACACTTAATGGATGATAAGTCTGAGGTGGTTCATCAAAGGAACTAGCCAACTCCAACACTAATGTCTATAGTATCAGGTGAACATGATGGATGATCTGTTTAAACCCATTGTGTGCCCCCAAAGAAACCTTTTGATGAGATTAATAACTTGTTCACAATGCCATTGAACTTTCAAAATAACATCATAACATTTTTGTTCCTTTGTCCATGCTAAACTGCTAAAAGCCTTGCATAATAATATAATATAAGTAAGCCAAGAAAAATAAAAATAAACATTGCAAGTAGGTATTATTACACAAGCACAACCAACTCAGAGGGAATATATTACTGTGTAACAGAACTTAAGTAGATGATTAGCTGTGTCTTTCTCTTTGATCAATTCTAGCCGAAAAGACTCACCAGCTTTCACTCCATTATCTTCACAGAACTTTATCCACTCTTTTCCTAATCTCATTCTTCCATATTCGTCCTCAGGTTTAAGACTCGTTGTACTTCTTACACCGTATCTATCAACAAGGGTTATCTTCCTTACGCTCTTGATACCATTCGCCATCACAAATGGCACCGGTAGACACTGCCATATACACTTTAAAACCTTTAAACAACTCTGATACAATCTTGAAACGATCGATGATATCTTACTTACCATAGCTCTTGAGATTGTATGGTGTGAGAGTTAGTGTCAAGAATCTGTCTTGGCTTGTTGGAGAAGATGAAGACGCTCGGAGACAATCTCGGTTGTATACCGACGCACGCAACTGTAGAACAGGTTTTGTCAATGTTTTCATACGAATCCTCTTTCTGTATTTTCTAATTATGAGGATTAGTCTCAAGAGATACCTTTATAACTCATAATGAGTTAATCTAAAATGTTACCTTTTCCAACTTTTTTAAATGTCTCTTAATTGAGGTTCCTAGACCTAGACGTTTGACCATATACGTTAAGTAAAAAAGAAAGTAATAACATTTATTCGGAACTAAACATAAATGATCGTCTACTCAGCGTTACAATACATCAGTAGTTCTGTATATATAACTCAGTCAACAATTACAAACAATTAGCTCTAGCACTTTCTTATACCACAAAAATGGATATTCCAAAAAGATACCTATCACTTTTCATATTGATTATCTTTCTAACTACAGATCTATCACATGCCCGAATATATATAAAAATCCTCAACAAGCATGGTAGTACGGTGCGGTTTCATTGTAAATCAAAGGACATTGATCTTGGTGGCCAGAGTTTGCCACCCGGTGGGTCGTGGTCATTTCATTTTGAGCGTAATTTCTTTGGAAGGTCATTATTTTTCTGTGCCTTTGATTTGCCAAATGGAAGGAGTTGGCTGGACATATATAGAGAGGACCGAGATAATCTCTTCGGTTTTTGGGGGCAGCGGTATTTGTGGAAGATAAAACCAAATGGATATATTTGTAAGTATAAAGTTTATCCCGGAGGGTATGGTGAATCAATTGTTAATTGTTATTTAACAAAATAAAGTTCTTAAAAATACTTAGCCAAGACGAAGTAACACATAGGACTTTTATATGGCTCACAAACTTCGAATATAATATAAATAAAACATACCAATATTTTGTTACCTTAATTTTTTATGTTGGTAATTGGTGATACTGTATGTTTTAAATCACTCGGTACAAAAGATACCCATGAATCTCGCAAGTGTATGATGCTTTTTATATAGACTGCAACTTTCAGTTTAGTCGTGATTATTAAATATGAACCTGCAATTCAGTAGCTTTGACTGATTCAATACATCGTTGACTCTTTTTCTGTTAGCTGTTTGCTTTGTTCCAATGCCGAAAGTTATTTCACTCACTCAGACTACGACTTACATTATAAACACTCTCAAGCATTCTTTTTCAAAAAAACATAGTGAAGAAAGAATATAAATCAATTTTCTCCGACCAAAGTTAGACATTGTCACAAAAGAAAGAATGGTGCCGTATATAACACGGCAAAGATTGTCATCCAAAGCTGCAACTCTTCTTCCCTTGCCCTCATGGAGAAGAATTTAAACAAGATACTGAAGATAAGTTATTCT